GCCATTTCTCGGGTAAGCTCGCTTGCGGCATGAGCCTCTTGCTGTCTCGCGGCTTCTGAGACGACGACTGGTGGTGATAACCTAGTTGCCGCTTCTATTTCTGGCCTCGCAACCCAATCGAGTCTTAGACTAGATCTCATTGGAGCCTTTGGTCGGCTTCATAGACTCCTTTGCTCAGACGTACTCGCTTTGCCCCTGCTCTTCTCCATCTGGATTTCATTTCATCCTCGACTGTCGCTCGAACTAATGCTACGCTGACATGAAATTACTTGAGAGCGTCTGCCACAAATTGCGAATGCCGCACTGCTGAGTTGACAGATTTCATCTTTTTGTCATCTAATTGCGATATTTGCCAGGGACTCGCAGGGAACGTTCGGGGTCCCAAACTTAGCTCTTCATATTTGGCTCTTGACTCCCCTCCCACTCAGCGTTTGTCGAACGAATACGAGTACGTCATAAGAGACATCGCGAGAGATAAATCAAAGCCTGTATCGAATCCTGGCTGCCATCCTGAATTTTCAATGTAGAGTACCATCGCCTCGGATACCATACATCCCTCCCAATCAAAATATTCTCCATCCCACCTATCCTTCATACAGAGTGTTTCCGTGGTGGCAGTCTTCGGAGGTCTCGGTCACGTTCTCGACACTCGTTGGTTCTTCCTTCACAGCTTCTAACTTTGAAACTCAAATTGGTGAAACGAACCCCTATAGTTTCAACCTTCCCCACTTGCGGAGGAGTGTATACAAATCCCCAGACGGTTCTCCGGTTTCAATTTTCATCCCGTTCAACTTCGGGACGACTATCCACTGGGCTGGAATACCGAAACCGGACCGGTTGAAGGAGCCGAGGCCGCAATGCGCCCGTTGCCAAGACGGTGACTGTTGCGTTGAATCTCATTTCAGGAGAGTGTGGTCTGGTAAAGATAGGGGATGATATTTCATCTGTAAATGGCCGGCATGTAAGATGAGGGCATGGGAGATTTCAGTTGGATGTTCCATGGAGACTTGATATCGTTGTTAGACTCAAGTCGATGTTTAATTTTCTCCATTTAAAAAAAACCGGCGTCGCAGCCGTTGATCGGTTTTTGTGACATGATCAGTCTTTGGGACGAAATATTCGCGGATTTCAGACTGGCATTAGTTCTCGTCTTTGAATCCTTCACTGGGTCTACTGGCCCATTGCCTGCGCCTTCGTCCGCGTGCTGAACAGCTTTTTGGGGGCGTTCTATGATAGGTAGCGCAGCTTAGACCTGTCCACTTGTCACCATGCTATCTCGACAGAAATCCAGGTGGCAAAACAGATATTGCGGCAAGCTCCCAACCAGGTTCTTGTTCATCTCGCTGCTAGGCTAGCTTCATTCTACATGGTAAAATGGATAATACATGATCAAATGGTAATCAATAACGAGAGAAGCCCTGATACGTCATACTTTTGACGTTCCGGCCATGCCGACCCTTGAGTTGTTCTTGACACTTCTCATGATATGTCCGATAGAGATGTTTTTGTTTGCGGCTCCCTATATCAATTACAATCGCACTGTATGTTGAATCGCTTTTTTTATTGTCTCATGTAACTGTGAGATGGATCCTTCATCGTCCATCAGACCAACCTTGCCACGCTCCACCCCTGAGTTGACTAGCTAGGAGGGTGATTAGCGGCACGCTTTCAGTCTAGCTGTTTAACTCTACGATAAATGCTTAGACTAAAAGTCACCGTGAAGATCGCGAATCATTACCAGCATCCTTTCTCTGGATATGACGATGGTCGGCTTTTTGTCTGGCCCTCTCTCCAGGGCCAACTGACCAAGGCTACTGCTCTTGACAGACTGGAAGCTTTCATCATTGATAAGTAGGTTGGAGATTCACGGCACATATATCAAGACTCGACAAACGACCTTCAACATCATACAGGCAAGTACGATCAGACTACTTCGCTATGTAATAGAACTAGTGGATTTGAAGATGAAGCTGGCGCCTGATGATCTTCAATATTCGAATTATCCTTCACTTAGTGTTATTTCCGGACGAAATTTGAGTCACCGCAACTTGCAGATGCATGGTCATGAACACAAGCAAGGATTTCGCGTGCTGTCAATGGAAGTGAAATAAGACGACATCTTGGGCTCGTATGGTTTCCGACTACTTGAGCCTTCTGATCCTGGTTTCTCTTATTAACTTAATTGGGGATTATCCATTATGCATTACTAAATCTATTATCGGACATTCCAAGTCCGAACTAATCATTTTTGTGCATTTGAATAAACAGATTCGCATTACGTTTCTTCGAAGTGATCTTGTGTTTTATGCTGTTTATGTAACTACACCCGAGGGGGCGTTGCGGTGCCCGCAAGGGTATGTACATCTCGGCAGAAGCCATCGACCTAGGATCGAGAGGTTATTCGGGTTGAGCTCGGGTTGGATTACGTTTAAAAAAATGTTTATGTCTAATGGAAACCTCGAAAGTAGAGCGTCTCGCTTGGTTAGGTAATGAGTATCCGCGTTCTCGCTTGGCATGCCTCTTGGCCACTCCAACTTTGTGAGCGATGCCACGATCCTTCGGACAATCCAGTAGTGAGAGCCATGCAAACTTCCAGTGGAACCATAACCCTTTGGATTTATAAGTTGGTATAAATCGCATGCCAGATTCCAAGGTTCCTCATTGCGTCTGGGGGAACTTCGCAAGGTCTATCGGACAACATTACCACCTCCAAAAGAGATTTGAAGCTCACGCAAGAGTTTACAGTCCTTCGATATTTACCAGGATGTACGCGTATGTCAACCCAGCCAGTCCTTGGCTGTCGGAGCACATCAAGTCATACATCCGAAAGCACGCACCGGAAACCAAGTTCATCGACGATTTCGATCATTTCCCATCAAACGCTACGACAGTCTTTCAGTTCTGCGATGGCTGGGCACTGAATCGTAACTTCGCAGCCTTGAACTCGGCAACCAAGGGCCTGATCAATGCCTACCCGAACAGCGACGCTTTGGCTCGAAAGGACTATCTTGCCAGAGTTGTGGAGTTGTGGACGGCCAAGAGACCAGAGAGCATTCTCAAAAGTCATGTGCCCGTCACCGTTCGACTGTCTTTAGACTATGCCGAGTATGCTGCAGAGTCTTTGACTGCTGCAGACGACCTGTCACTTCTATATACACTCGAGGCAAACGAAAGTAAGCCCGCAGCTGAACGAGACTGGTGGATTATGAAACCGGCGTTAGTCGACTGTGGCGCTGGCATCAGACTGTTCAGTACAGTAGATGAGCTTGCTAGTCATCTCGAGCTTGCAGAGGACGAGGACGAGGACGAGGATGATGGTACCTTGAATTACGACGGTCAACAATCTCTTCCAGGCACTTTCTCATGTTCGAAGATCGGCGGCCCGGATGACTTCTCGCCAACACTGTCTACCCCGGGTCTAGAGACTCTTGATGTGCTAGTCACCGCCACAGGAACTTCGTCACTCAAGCCAACTTCAGATGATGTCCAAAGATGTCCAAAGCCGCAATACTTCTTCAAGGAAGGCGGACGTATTCCATCAGCACAGATGCGCGAGTTCGTCGCTCAGCAATATGTTGTCTCTATTCCGCCGATGGAAAATAGGAAGTGGCACGCGCGAGCCTACGTTCTCTCGATAGGCCGTCTCAAAGTCTACGTCTTCAAGGAGATGCTTGCCCTTCTTGCTGGAGAAGACTATAAACCGCCTTGGTTGTACCCAAGCCTGAAGTCCTCTCTGACCAACACAGCCCTTCAAGACGAAGATGTATTTGTCAATAGAGAGTCAATGAGAGACTTTTGGGATGCTCCAGATGACTTGCTGCCTGGGGACTGGAAAGCTCATGTCTTTGATCATGTCTGCGCCGTTTCCGCGGAGCTGTTTCAGGCCGCTGCACACACGATGGCGGACAAGTTCACAACAGTGGATAAATGCTTCGAATTATTCGCAGTGGACTTCCTCGTAGACTCGAACGGCACCGCGTGGCTGCTTGAAGTCAATGAAACCCCTGCATTCTACAATGTTGGCATAGCAGGACCTTTGGCACTGCGCTTGATGGAATCTGTGATCTGTGTGGCTATGGAACATATGGGTATGGCTCAACTCGAAGGTTGCGATCATACTGCTGCGAAAGAGGGTCTGATTCAAGTGTTGGACGAGACGGACAAGCTTGCCAAGAGCAACATAACGGAGATTGTGCCAGAAAATTGAATACAGTTCGATTCCGACAGCGAGTAGAGACGCCCTCATTATTGAACACTTCATTGTTTGATTGAGGTTTCTGTTAGGCGTACTACCTAACCTGGACACTGAAACTGGGTCTTGGCAAGGTTTTCGTCTCTGATGCCTGCATTGGATTAGCTTCGTAATCGGCCAAGGCGGCTGGAACCGGTCAAAGAACCTCTCTCGTGTGGAGATAGATCCTAGAAGAACTATCCTGCGTCAATCCTCTATCTAATCCTGGTGGTCTGTAACCCATGCTCTTATCGAGACGAGCGTTCCACTTCTCGAAACTCAAGGACGTAGCCCCAATCATGAGATTCGCATTCTTTATGCTGAGCGACTGGCTTACGTAGCCATGCTGCGTGAAAAGTTGCCTCTTTTGGCCTGTATTGTGATGTTCTAAGCTTAAAAAGGAGGTTCCATAGTATAAGAATGATTTTAAGATGCAGGTAGAGTGGAGTTGTCTCGAGATTGTGACAGGAGTCAAGTTGCCCAGTTATGCTAGGAGTCGCTTGTCAAGTTTGAGACAACCGCGAAACCTACCTGCCATCCCAACTGTGACAACAAATGAGGTTCGCGCCGCATTTTATCGAATACCTATAAAGGCTTCACGTAGAACAGTGAAGTGAACGAAATATCCTTGCGATCAGCATCTCTCAACTACTACAGACTACGCTCGAGTGTGCCCAATTGTTTCTAGGCTGGCCCAATCCTCTTGCCCTACACTACTACTATTAACTCTACCATTGTGTCTATCTTGTCTCCCGTATACCTTTTCAACATGAAATTTTCCTCCATCTCAGTCACCCTGATCACCATTTTCGGCCTTGTCGCAGCCTCGCCCCAGCGTGGCGGCAGCCGACAACAACAAGCCGCGGATAAGAAGGCTCTTCAGGACCTCGCCGGGACAGATGTTGACCCTAATCTTGAGAACGGCACCAGACTTCTGTCAAATGGTCAAGGACAATGCGTTGCAGTTTCTGGGAGAGCGGTCTGTTCTGACTCTTCAGGAGCTACATTGTGAGTTGATCAGGGACGTGTTGGTTTCCATTCCTATGATCCTAACAACTATAGTAGGAGGGGTAATTGAGTACGTTCGATCGTACGTTCTGGAGGAGAAGAGAGGGCAGGGCAATCTCTTATTTAAAATATAATCCTACTTCTTCTCAATGACATCCAAACTGTTTTGCTGTCGATTTTAGCCTGTGCTCTCCCAATGCAGTGTGTACATCTAGAGATGCGCTGGTAGCACTGGAGACTGCTGTGACGATTACTGTTGAAGTAGAATCTGCTAGCGTTGAAGAGTTTTCGCTTCACCTAGCCATTCGAAAGAGCCACGGGCTTGCTTGAGTTGAGCTTCGCTAAGTAGCCGATGGCCATGGCTGAAGGTCAAGGTCATGAAGTGGCCAAATGTGCCCCTTTGCTCTGTATCTTTCATCCCCTTACGCCAAATGTCGGTAAGGCCAGCTATCTGTACGATGCACTGAGGGAAGACTAAATTGCCTAGGAGAAGCGCTTTTCGTTGCTGATTCCTATCGTGGCCGAAGTCTCTTGATAACGTTGACAAAGGTACGTAAGTAGACATTATAAGGAAGGCCATGCACTGGACAAAGAGACCACTGCAAGGAATGGAAGTTATCGGTTGTTTTTGTAGTGTATTTGGCTAACCGTTGATGTTGAGCCTTAAACTCTAATAGCATACAAGAAGCTACTCATTTATTCGGGAAAAGGCAGCGACGCCATGCTTTTCGCACAGACACCCGCGCTCTATTTGATGACCGACAGACGTAAGGCAGATTATCAATGAGTCTAAATGAGCATGACTGTGGCTCGGGATGTCTGCAAAGCCCAAGTTTGGGAATCCTGAACGCAGAGTTTCCAAAAGAATCTATGAGATAGCCCGCTCAATTGGAACTAGCATTGTATACTCCGTATACCGAGCATCAATAGGTGTTAAGACCAAGGTGAGTGTAGGTGAGGACAGGCGAGGCCCAGATGTGCCACTGACAGCGCAGGCAGCTAACCGCTAGCCGAAATTCTGGAGACCCCTGACGCGCTAAGCGTTGCTGGGCTGGGCTGATCCCTCCACCGCCGTTTCCTCCCCACCATCAACACAACAAATGCGCTGTCTGCATTTGGAACCAATTCAATGCGACACGCGCCTGCGTAGACGACGTCCCCCCCTATACTCCCGTCCGAAGGGAGACGAAAGACAAGATTCAACTTTGATTCTTCGAGACCATTGACTGAAAGCAAAATGTCGTCATGGCGACTCTGCCAGCCAATTCTCTGCTTGCACGGTCACGTCAGCCGCGACCGGGCCCGTCGATCAAGACCCTGAGCGCACCCATTCACGCCTCGATATCAACGAGTACCGCGCCTACCACCAATGCCTCCCTCTTTTTGACCAACCTGCGCTTGCTGGACTTTCCTTCTTTCCCAGACTGGCCAGATTTCGATGCGCAGACTTTCTCTGTGCAGAAAAGGCGCATCCACTGCGTAGAATGGACCCTCTACCAGCTCTTTGTACTCTGGGACCCAGAAGAGGCGCGGAATGTATGTGCGAATAGCGTCTGTACTGGGCTCTGCTAATCTTCGTGACTCATAGAAGCTTCAACCCTTCTTCCCACCTCGAGACCACGTTCAATCCTTAAATTTGCGAGCCGCCCTCCTGCGAAGCCTCGACCAGGCCAAGAAGAATGGGGTCCTCGGACGAGATGCAGTGGTCCGCAAGACCATGCTAGACGAGTGCAAAGGGGAGCGATTGGAAGAAGTTCTCGCCGTCTTTTCATCCGCCGTTCTGAAAAAGATGGTGGCCGAAGTGACAAAAGCCGAGCACGAGTACCCAGCTATCGCACAGCAAGTTGCGTTGGAAAACCGGGATTACAGTGCCGAGCGAAAGGAACTTGTGACCCTTGCGCTTGCTCACAGAGCCTCCATCACCAACGCCATGCGGCAGAAAGACGAGGCTAGGAGAAAGTATCACGAACTTGCTGGAGTGCTGAGCCAAAAAGAGGAAACCATTGTACGGAGGAAGGAGGAAATTAAAGCCGCTCGAGTACCTTCAAGCACGCGAGACCTACCAGACCATCTGAAATCAGATACATGGAGGACAGTGCGGACGAACTGGGTCGGGAACGAGCAATGGATGGAAACTCTTCTCTACGGCGACTCCCACGCCCGTAAGGACGGCCTATTGTCGGCCCCGTTTGACAGAGTCTGGCGACGCTTAGAGTCTAGTCGACTTACCGAGTTGGAAAGCCACAATGCAGGCCTTTTGGAGCAATTAGATGGCCGTGTAAGGACACAGAGGGAGAGGCTTGCGAGATGGCAGGAATTCCGAACCGATATGTTTGGCGAACGGCGCAAAGCCAGTACATCTAAAACGTCACAGCCTTTGAAAACAAAACGTGGCATCGACCTCGGATTCGACACGCACGAGAGCTTGCATCTGGGAAAGACGAGCCCGAGAAAGCAGATTGCCAAGAAGAGCATCCCCTTGACAAGGAATTACTCTAACCTTTTGGACGACTGTATAGCAGAGTTGGCTGAAGTAGGCTCTTTGCCCGTGGTCAAGCTCACCGAGACGTTGGGCCCGCGGACTCGTCAACACGAGAAACCAGATGGGATCCTGGCTACGAGGGAGAGCCTCGGAGACGAGACCATTTCAGAACTCAGCGAATTAGAGGATGATCTGCACGGAACAAATCACTTGCCACGGCGTCCATCGCTGCAGGAGCCCCATCCCAGACGGCTCGAACGTCCCGCCATCAATCTTTCTTCCCGGACGAGCAGTTCTGACCTACCACCCCCGTTACCTAGCCCATTGCTACTGCCACCAGAGTCGCAGGATGAACTGGCTATACCTCCGCCGACCCCCCCTTTACCGGAAGAAGACGACATTACGGAGACACTACCTGACCGCATCGCAAGCCCGCCTCTGGAAGAACAAGGGGAGGCGGAAGTTCCGTTCGAAAGGGAGGATGGCTCACCAGAATCGCCCCAATCTCCAACACAAGAGCTGGCAGACCAAATTTTGAAGGACATGGACGTTGCGTCCCCTTCGCCTGTCAAGCGCTCCAAACCACGTCATACCTTATCCCTTGCAGAGCGGACACGGATGTCGATGGCTCGATCTTCGCGGAGCGTCAGATACGATCCAGACGATGAGGAAGACGATACGCTGACCCTGAGGCCATCCTTCGCCAGTGCTAATCGCCGAACTGGAGAAGTTACGATTCACGTCACTGATGAGGATGACCTGGTTGCTCGCACGCGGAAGAGCATGGTTGGGTTTGAGGCCGCCCACCAGAAAGCTCAATTGGACAGACAAAAGTCGTTAAAGAAACCACGGCCTAGAGCCCGAACAGAAAGTCATATCCCCGTGGTTGAGGAGGAGACGATGGAGTTGGACCCTGATGCATCCATCCTTGCCGAGGAGCTGATGGCTGTTGAAGATATGGAGGCTGTGTTTCGTAGCCGGCCGAGGATCAAGACGAGCCCGGCCCCCTCGCCGTCCAGGAGACCGCTCGAGGAAACTCTGTAGATGCATTATACACTCTGCACCCAAGGAACGCAGAGTGAAAGACGCTAATAACGACCTAAGTTACGCATTTGAGACACCAAAATCTTTGTGATTTCTACATATTGTACATTTTGTAGACACCATGTGCTACAGTCATCTTGTCACATCCAGTGGTTGCTCCTACCAGCCTTGATTCTTGAGCTCCATGACTCTTTTCACCGTTGCCTTGAAGCCTTCCTTGAAACGAAGCCTCCATCTCTCACTCTTTTGTCTCTTGCGCTTCTTTCCCGGACGCTCATGGAACCTCTGCATTTGGGAAAACTTCCTGGTCTTGTTCTTTTTGCAGTTGAAATCGAGAAGCTTAAGGGCCTTGGCCAAATCCGTTTTGGTGGTAAGGTGAACCGTTCGACCAGTTTGTGGACGTGTGCGCAGGTCGGGCTCTTGCTTGCTTGTAGGGTAGTGCTTCTTGAGGAATTCATCGGATTCCATAGCGATGATTTTGGAAATATCGAATGTGTCAGAGGTAGCATCATATGCGTAGGGACTATCGGACTTCTCCTGGGAAGGGGCAGCCGCGTCGGCGGGCGGCGGCGGAGGTGGCGGTTGGGCGTAGTTCGTCGCGGCTGGCTTCGAGAACAGGCCTTCAAGGTTCGATCGTGATCCAGAGCGAGGAGGAGCGGAGAGAATCGAGGATGTCGCAAAGGCACGCGGATGAGTCCATAACGGCTGTCGGAACGCTTGTGATGCATGCAGAGAGGAATTGCGGATGGTGCAGGTGGTGAGCAGTCTCTTGCTCAGCAACCCGATTTCCGACGCCCTATGAGACTTAAGTTAATCGAGGTTCGACAACCTTACGAGGAGAGCCACTCACATTTTAATTGAGTTTCGCAGAGGCTAGGCGAGCACAATGCGGAGGGAATCGAACTGGCGCAGCTTTGGCGGTTGATCAATCTCACAATATTTCCTTCCATAGCCCAGACCTGGCGAGTCGCGAAATCAATCGATTGGAAGCTTACTCGGTGAAGGGTATCTCCGGGATGCCGATGGACCCACCATGTAGTTCCGGCCAATCAAAGAGCTGTCGCGTTGCAAGGCTAATTCGCGTTTGCCTCGCGCCGAATTTTGGAAAGGACTGGATCAGGCCCAGCGAGATTGGACCACAGAGATAGACCAAGAGCTTCGGTGTTCGACTTTGGAGCTCTCCGTCCCACCTACCGCCGCTCTCCCCGTCAGCCTCAGTCTCCTACACAGTTACTGTCGCCCTTGCCCTTCCTTCAATCTGAGCGGCGAGCTTCGACCGGGATCATCATCGACAATTCTGTTTATTACTGGCTGCAACTCATTCCTGCGATCTGAGGCAGTCTCGCCAATTACAGGATCGTCGATCAGTGATTCCACGTCAACTTATTATCTACAACTCTGCAGAATCTCTCACCATGTCCTACAACCCTTACGGAGGTGCGTCAACTTTCGACCCCCAAAGATGCTCTTTCTCACTCATCGCTGCAGCAGGTAACCCCTATGGGCCGCCTCCGACTTATGGTGGCTTCCCGGGGTCCAACGGCGCCCCCGGCATGGCTCCTCCACCTGGTCTAGGTTCGGAATCCAATGCTCTGATTTTGGGATGCCCTGCTAACACATTCTCAGGCCCTCCGCCAGGCATGTCTTCCGCTCCGGGAATGGCACCACCTCCCGGTGTCCAGCAGTCCAACAATGCCCAAGCTAACCGACAAAGCGGCCTGCCGCCTAACTTCCAAGCTCCCGCGAACCTCCCGAACATCAACTTCAGCGCCCCCGTCATTCGTCTTGGTACCATAGGTGGCAAGGCAGGCGGCCCCGATGGCGGCAGAAAGGATAGCAACGCTCCGACCGGCGGACGACAAGGATTGGGCATGGACCGCGGATACGATCAATCCCGCGCTGCCGCACGCGAGCACATGCAGTCCCTAGTCCCGCCGACCAACGAGGAGAAGCTGAGGACACTGTTTGTTCATAAGATTCCCGAAGGTGTGAGGGGCGACGAGGGCATCGAGTTGATTCTCAATTCGGTCGGCAAGCTTCGGAGATGGGACGTCGCCACTTCAGTCCTTTCTGACGGCAAAGGAACAAAGTTTGGCTTCGCGCAGTTCGAGGATGCCGATTCTTTTGCAACCGCTTGCGATCTGCTTCAAGACGTCGAGGTCCCACTGAAACGACAAGCCCCATCCGAAAGTGCACCATTGGAAGGTGACTCTTTCGACGGAGTAGAAATGGTCAAGCTTCAAGTCACTATCGACCCGAATTCTCTCAAGTACATCGAATCTTACAAGGAAGGCAGAGGTGATGATGGTGGTGCTGAATCACGGATTAAGACTGCCAAGGAGACCCTGAAGCAGGTCATCCGAGACCTCGTTTATCCCAAATCCGCCAGCACAGCAGACGGCGAAGGTGATGTCTCAATGGGTAACTCCGGAGACAACGTCGAGGTTGTCAACATCCCTCTGGCTCAAGACGACGAACTTGCAGACATCCCTGCAGAGATGAGAGAAGTTGTCGCCGCCGAGATCGCGGCATTCAGAGAACGCAGCAATAAGCGAGATCTGGAGCGCCTTAAACGCGAGGAAGAGATGGAAGAATTGGAACGAAACCGCAATGGTCCCTCTCGACCATCACGGTTGGATTCTCCGCCACCATCCAACTCCAACAATATTCCTGTCGGACCTCGCGGCATGCACAATGCACCGTCGGGTCCTAGAGGACAGAACGGTTCCCGTACGTCATTCGTAAACGGAGGAATCTCGAACGCCGAGCTGTCTATCAATCGCGAAGACGAAGATACGGAGGCTGATGATGAGGAGATCTACCAGCAGGAGCTCTCGAAGCAAAAGTCGGAAGAAGAAAAGATGTACCTCGAGGCGGAGCGAAAGTGGGTGAACAGAGAACGTTCCCGTGCGGCAGCCTTGGAGAGAGAAAAGGAGCGTGAGCTGCAGGATGAGGAGACACTGGAGAGACGCGTACAAGAGCAGCTTGAAAGGGAAAAGGCCTGGGACGACGAGAGAGAAGCGTCCAGAAAAAACCACTTTTACTACCGTGACCATGCAGGCTGGGTCAAGAAGCGCCAAATTGAAAGGGCGGATGAACAAGCCAGGGATGAGGCAGATCGGAGAGCCGAAGATGATGAGCGCCGGAGAGAGGCCGCAGACATAGAGAGGGCGCGTGGCATGGCCGACTCCTTCCTCGACCAACAAGCCCATGAGATGGAGCAGCGACAACAAGCAACCGCTTCCGCACCAGCGCCCTTTAAGCTGTCGCTGGGTGCTGCAGCTCAGCGCGCACAAGCCCAACGTGTGGCCCCTCAACGACGGACCGTTGCTGAGGTGGAGGGTCTTTTAGACGACGAGGAACAAGACAGCACAACCAGGAGACAGCTCATCCCCATCCAGTTCGAGCCTACGACTGCGGCGGACAAGATGACCGAGGAGGAGATTAGCAAAGCCGTTCGTGCTCTTGCCCAGGAGATCCCATCGGAGAAGGATGGCCTGTGGAACTGGACTGTGCAATGGGACTTCTTGGACGATGCCATCATCCGCGACAAGCTTCGGCCATTTGTCGAGAAGAAAATTGTCGAGTATCTCGGCGTGCAGGAGGAGATGCTTGTTGAGGTCGTGGAGGAGCATCTTCGGAAGCACGGGAAGCCGTCGGAGCTGGTGGAAGAGCTTGCAGCGGTGCGTTTACCAAGTCTCACCTTTTCCTTTGTTGGGTCGCTAACAATCACCACAGGCATTGGATGACGAGGCAGAGGATATGGTCAAAAAGTTATGGCGCATGGTCATCTTCTTCACAGAAAGTGAGAAGCGTGGATACCCAGCATAGTCTAGGCAGCCCCTATTGTATTATATCGACATTCCGGCAGCACCGTGGACTCAGCTCTTCGAGGAGGGCGGAAGAACAATCCCAGCAAAGTGCTGATGTTTGGCCACAATTGCGGAAAGAAAAGTGAGCGAGGCCGCAAAGGCAACTATTCCCCGAGTTCACGGAGATCAGGGAACTCACTCTATCTACTAGAATCTCCGAAGTGGTTAACCCCCTATGGTCTTTAATCCAGTACCTCTGCTTGTCGAGTGAGATGATTAGGAAGAGAAGCCATAGGCCATGAATGTACGTGTCATTCGTCGTTAAACTATTGATCCTTCTTTAGGCCTTTCACCACTGCCATCTATGGAATCAACAGGTATTTCGGTCTTCCAGAGAGACCCGAATACACCTCCTAGAACCATCACGATACCACAGTATAACTGTAAATCAGTCAGTACAAGACTTCAACGGCCAGAGTCCAGGGACCTTGGCGTCTTACCTCAAAGCTCAATGCGCGAGGCGACGAGAGTAGGGGAATCGTCGAGGCTGACAGGAAACCCAAACTCTGGGCGTAATTCTTCGCAATGGTGCTCGATACACGGACCGCCCAGGAGACAAGAAACCCTCCCATGGCTTGTAACAGAACAAAGTCCCACACCAGCATTGTGTAACCACGGAAGAATCCCTTTGTGCTAAAGTCTGACTGCCACAAGAACCCGCCAAGTGCACACAAACAACCATATGCCGCCAGCTGAGCATTGCGAACCATGAAACTACGTTCTGAGGACTTTAGAACGGCCTCCATATAGACACCAGCGAAAGCGCTACAGCAACCAGCCACTAGCATGGTGACAATTCCGAAGGCTCTATCTTTACCCGCGTCGCCGCCGGCAACGTCGCTGAATGACGATGGCAGAGAGCCGACCTGTACCAGTACTATCCCCGCTGCCATGATGACCAGGCACAGCCATTGATGAGGGTGCAGAGTCTGTGTTAGGAGAGCCTTGCTGAAAATGGGTGTCAGGATTAGCTTGACCTGCGACAGCATCAGGTACGGTAGAATGCTGAGATGGTAAGCTCCAAAGCTCTGGCTGGTTGCCGAGAGCGTGTACAGGAAAGCTGGTATGGCAGCGTTGTCATGACCGCTCCGCACGTAATCTAAAAACCCGGAAGTAGTTGCCGCGCGGTCTTCAGTGTTGTTGTTGAAAGCCCAAGCAGCACCACCGAGGGAGATGAGCAGCTTCAAGGCCTCGGATAGAAAGACAGCACTAAGAGGCTCGTACCGAACAGAATCGTCCTCGGGGCGGCCCTGCACCTTGTGCTGCAACTGATTGTTGATCCTCATTAGTCAGAGTATGGATGTTGAAGACCGTACTTCAGGTTAGGTGCAGGCAAAGGCTGTCTACTCACCAAAATGCTGGCCGCGTTTTGACAGATGAGCTTCGGACTTTCTGTCAGATCTCGTCGTGCCCAATAGCAGTGGAGGCATGTAAACCTACCATTGCAAGAATGATGGCAGCCGTGATTCGGGCGCATCGGCGGCGCGCAAAGTTGCTTTGCACCATGGAGATGTCCGTTTCTTGAATCCTTCTCCCGGTCATTGGTATTGGGCTCTTTCCATCGTGTCTAAACTTTGCGGTCATTCTGCTCGTCCTTCGTTTAGATATTGTCGGCTTTTTTCTTACCGCGTCCACCGCGCCGGAATTACTATCCGACAGCTGCGGTAGCTAAGGGACCTAGCGGGGGCCAAATCTTTCGTGGTATTGACTCGCTGATCACTGATTCATATCGGCTCACTCTCCACTTCATAACTTTAAGCCGGGGGGACCCATCCCACTCCAAAATGGCGATGGTCAAGCCACCCAAGAAGAGAGAGCGGATAGTCAGGCACTGTCGTGTGCTAGGGGATTGACAGCGCAGTGGAGCACTCTTCTTACACTGATATTGAAAGTCGACTCAAGAGGCTACGGATACAACATTGGCCCTAATACCTTCTTGGCCCTCTGGAAAGCTGAATCACTGTTCTGAGAGGCACGATTCTTGCACGAACCACAATGATACAAAGCACTAGTGGCAGCCGTCGTGACAGCTCGGCCTCGGTCCCGGGCACTCCGCGTCGACGTTAGATTTACGCTAACAACCACCCTTGTCGCGCCCCAAGAACCCCCAAGAGGCTAAGACTGTCATTGATCCCTAAATAGGTGTGCGTCCCACCCGTCTGACATTTAGGCACTTGGATACGAGGTCTTTTGCGCCAGGAAGCCCTGCCTCAACCATAGTTCTCTACGGTGAAGATTCCCTTTTCCGAGGCCGACGGGAAATGGTTCTTCATGCTGTTAGCCTTCTTTTGTCGTGACGAGGGGCATTGCGGCAGCATGCACCGTGCAGGCTGCACCAGACTCAAATAAGGAGGGCAGGCTTCTTAGCTTCCAAGGCCATGGAATGGTTCCTTCGGCTCATGTTAAGGTTTTCGTAACTTCCCCCCTGATTCAACGAGCCCTTCTTTGCACATATCGCCTCAACTCCTAAGATTCTTCATGGACGTAGACAACTGGTAACTGGATCCCTACCTACCTCTTAACCCTTTCGTGGTACCAGCTCGCCGCAATAGGTTGTCAACTCAACCTACCTGTTGTTCTCGACCATGTTCATATCAACGAAGCGCGCCGTTGCGCTGACTTGCGGGATCTTCGTCTTTGTTCTTTTAACGGGCTACCAGTCGATAAAGTACAATTTCATTCCTAACCCTCTACAACACGTCTTGAAGAACGGCACATTTGAGACGCCGGGTTCGCTTGCAGAACTCAAGCCATTCTGGACCACTGAGCAACTAGAACCCCGGTTTGCCTATGTCCAATATGCGACGGACATCAACTACTTGTGCAATGCAGTATGTCTACGCTGATGCCTACCAAGAGGCGGTGCGATACTCAGGAGATTCTTTGCTAATGCGCTGACGTTAGGTGATCAACTTCAATCGCCTGCACCGCTTCGGCGCGAAACACGACCAGGTCCTGATCTTTCCCAAAACTTGGGCCGAAGGAGACTCGAAAGAGGCCAAAGCTATTAGAACTATCCAAAAGGCTCTACCGGATCTCGTCCTACGACCCTTTGGTCTTCTCACCACACATAAAGGGGAGGCAACATGGTCCAAGAGTCTGACCAAGTTCCATGCCTTCGACCTCACAGATTACACCCGAGTGTTGGCCTTTGATTCCGACTCGCAGATCTTGAACAACATGGATCACTACTTCCTAGCCCCGATGGCAGCCGTTGCGGTCCCGCGCGCATACTGGCTGAACGAGAAGGATACGCCCGTCGTTAAGCAAGTCCTTGGCTCCCATGTCATGCTCATCGAGCCCAACAAGTCCCGGTACGACAAGATTGTGCGTGAGGCGCTCAAGTCTGGTGACTTTGACATGGAGGTCATGAATCACATGTTCAAGGACTCGGCCATGATTCTCCCGCATCGTCGACTTGCACTTTTGACCGGCGAATTTCGGGCCAAGGAGCACCAGAAATACCTCGCGCCCGACGAGGACGAGGAGTGGAACGCCATGGCCGAGGTATCAAGAGCGTATCTGGTTCACTTCAGCGATTGGCCACTGCCAAAGCCATGGCTTTCGCGTTCAGACGCTCAATGGAAAGCTGCCTTGCCGGAGTGCCCTGACAACGAAGAGGACAAGCCTGATCGACCCAGATGCGCCGACCGGGTGATGTGGGAGGGCTTTTATGAAGAATACGAAAGCGACAAGAAGAGATACTGCAAATCTTGGTTATGATTGTGGGAGACATACCAGTAATACAGGATATTATACTCCAAAATTCTGCTCCTTAGCGCCAGGAGGAAGCGGACAGCGGCGCATCCAAAGTCAGCACCCCGAGACACAAACGATCTTACATCGTCTCGAAAGATCTTGACGACGACGGCACACCTCAGAGAGGTTCTCTCAGAGCGCCCTCGATCACTGCGTGCTATTCACTCCGGGAGCGTTACTGTCGGGTGGCACCCGTTCCATCCGGTTTATCCGGCGCTCGCAGCACATGTGGGCATGCCGAGCTCCACATTCACTTATCACCAAAGGCTCCACGAGTAGTGTAGGGGGTAGTCTTCGATGCCGTGTCGGCCGGCTACCGCAGTGCTTGGTTCTGAAGTACGAGGAGTGCGTGACACAGGCCCAGCGGCTTACAAGAGTGGCAGACGCTGCGAGGACTACGTTGATGCTAGCCATTATATTCAGCTTTGCACATATTGCTAGTAGCATGGCTGTGGAGCCCTGCTTTGTGCCGCTGTTGAGATGTCGGGCAACGAGCGACGACTATCTGATGTTACGAGAGTCCTTGGTGCAGAGGATGCGCCAAGGCGACTTCCGGAAGCCCGGGGCAGGGCTCGTCTGTTTTGAGCCTCAGATAACCATTGTGGCACCGGTGTTCTCAGCAGGAAGGCACGCATGTCGGATAGAGTGTAGAGGTGCATGACCAACTGTCTAAAGTACCAAGCAATGTCATAACTTACCACCATTCACATGACTTTGTATCCACCATCCGAGGCGTGGTGCAATACTTTTATATGTGCGACATTCGTCTAAATTCAATTTTTGTTTTCAGTGATGCTTGAAGCCGGTATGTGAATGTTAAGGGTGCGACTTGCTTCAGAGACTGCGCCATGTCGCCCTTTCGGTTCACTATGACATAATTTCCTGCCATCATCCCATGCACTACTGCTTTCCCAATTATATGCCCCGACAAAAACGGTAGATCGATACAAGCTTCTCTTCTACTTACTTATGCTGTCTCGGCTGCGTTTAGCTATCAAGACAGGTTGTAGTCGGGCTCATACAGCAAATCCTAGTGCCAGAGACACAGAGTCCGTACGGTCTACAAAAGAGTCTGGTTGAGCATTTTTCCTTCTCTAGCGAACTGGAGTATTGCTTCTTCTGACACTGTCAAGAAATACTGGGATCTAAGCCTGCTTCTGATTGTGCCATTTCCAGCACTGACGGGAAAAGGCTGGACGTAGTGATGGAGCGTCCGTAGCTGTGAAGCCAACAAACACCAAGCTCGTGAGTACCCCGACAATTGACTAACAGTTTCAAACGCTCCGAATACAATGTGATAGTAAACTATATGTAGTCTGTAGAAAATCAAGTTGTCAAAGGATTCCCGTTTCCGTGTGAACCTACGGCGAGGTCGACTTGACCAGCGTGTATCCAGTAAGCCTAGGCTCTCGTGCTTACGAAGTAATGTTTAACACCACAAAGGGGAATAGGTAGGCAATTGAGGGCTACATGAGAGGCACAGTCAGACTACACTGTGGTCACTAAGTAGTCAATTAGTTCCTCTTCCAAATGTTCTCACTGAAATCATAAAGTAATCACTGTCCTTCAAGCCCGATGACCCAAACATCCGAAATTTAGTGGTAAATCACAGGCTGTACTTTGCGGATTTAGTGTTAGCATTTGAACTTCGAACAACCTCAACGTGATAACGAGAGCATACGTGGATCGGCATTAAGGTGTTGCCTGGGATCCAAAAAGACTTTAGTTCAAGCGACTTTGTCGCAAAGGCGCAAGTAACAATGTATGGTTGCCCGTGAGAACAGCAATATCAAATGCCTGAAAACTCCTATGCATTTAGAAAACATCCGACGGGATTAGTTTCGAGAGCTCCGTTAGCTCCCCTGAAGCCAGAGTGTTGTATTTAGCACTAATGACTTGAGACTTCGATCGGTCTACTAGAGAGGTTCAATATCAGAAGCAATGTTTTGAAGCCACTTAAACTCGCCAAATGAACTTGCTAATCATCAGCCTTGAGGACCAAAATTGGGAAAGCCGCTTGATCGTCGGGAAACGATCCTGGAAAGTATAATGTGCTTTTACAAGCCAGCGCTTTTTTGTCAATAAGATATCGATATAGTGACGAAATAGAATGAGTTCTGAGCTCTCTTCGGTGACAGCCCTAGAGGCTAGTCCACCCCGCCAGGAGATCGCGTGTCTGAATTCCAACTCAGCTTTCTCTACTTCCGTTCGAAACCTTGATAAGTACACAACAATGCATAGTGACTGGAAACTCAAAGCCGACTAAGCCCACCAGTTTCGAGCCCTCTAAACGTCTTATGGAGCAGCCTCTTAGTTGCAAGTAGGGTTGTAGGTAATAGTGGGATCATATGATACGCAACGGTTGTTGCCACAAATGGGGATCCAGTTGCAGCTAGTCAAGGAGCCACAGCAGTCGTCATTGCATCTGGCATAGAGTCCTGTGCACCTCTCTATAATTCCATGGCTTGGTTAGAGAGAGACATACAACGGAGGGACCTTGCGCATTTACGAACTTTCGATGGCGAAGAGTGTACCGGCGTCAGCATTGGGAGAGGATGGCACGGCAGCGGCCAGGGAGAAAAGACCGAGAAGGGCAATCTTGAGAGTTGTGTGCATCTTGACAGGAGTTATGTTGATCGTAAGGAGTGTCGGGTTTGTCGATGTGAATGTGAGAACTGAGAAGTCTGTGAGTTATCGTCTGGTGAGAAAAGTCATCGATCCATAGGAAAGGCGTCATGGCTATTTTTATAAATACAATACTCAAAGGCCGTAAGCTACGTGAGAGTCGATATGATTATTCATACATCGCACAATGTCATGTTGAGTATTCTCCCTCCGGAACCCACAAAATAAAGTTCTGCGGTCGTCTGCGGGACGAATTACTGATACTCTGTGTTTTCGGAAATTGCAGCTATTATCTTGGCTAGTCAGATATTGACAGGTGGAAGCGTCGGTTGTTGTCAGTTACGTGGGTCGCCCATACAATAAGGTTCTCAGTCCTATACCGATACTACTTTACATATGCAGTGTCCCTGAGGACATAGTTCACCCAGCCGCGAATATGGTGCTTGGGGCAAGCATGCAAAGTCATCACGCCGGTTTATGGGTCGCTCAGCCCCTGGGTTGAATGAGGGTACGGACATTCAGTATTACTATTCCTGTTGTGAGTGAAGCAACATGGAGGTGCAAGGCGGAGTTTTGGCCCTTAAAAAGGACAAGAGGAAATGCCGATATACTATTTATATGTCTGCTATTCATTCCTTCTTGATTGAAAGACTTCTAAGTCAAAGTCTTTCAATCAAGAGGGAAGGAAGTTTCTGGAGAGGCCGGAGCTGATACTCTGGGAAGCTGAAACAGGTAATTGTCAATTGCATGGTATAGCAAGAAGTGTCTTTCGGCCTTTGGCAATGCGATACAGCTCTAAATCTCAATCTAACCCGATGTCAGTCAAGAAATTTTCTTTCCATGTCAAGTTTGGTCTGTCTGTCATTGTCCTAGAGTGTTTTCTAGCTGCGTTTTGTATGCCAGATTGGGCCATAAGATGGAATATGTTAGGATCCTGCTAGAATCCGAGGCGAAACAATTGCAGTCCAATCTTTGGTTGATGGTCCCACGTCCGTTTCAATCTCGTGAAGTCAGGTGTTCGAACCGTCCAAAGTAAGACAACGGGATCGGGAGATGAAAGAAGACCGGGGCCGGCCAGATAAACACAACTCGTAGTGAAGAAGCCGAACCCCAAACAATCGGCTCGTCGCGACGCTATCTACGCCGGCGTGGACACACACACACTTTCGGCACCGGAGCGGCGATCGGAAAGAACAGCAAAGTTTCAGAATTTTGGTCAGCTGTGTTGATGAGTCAGGGAAACCGGTTATCCGACGAGATCCGGCTCCGACTCGTAACAGCCCGAATTGCCACATGTCGCACGGGGCTGGTGGAGAGAGAGACAGTCCTCGGACTGGAAATCCACGCCACGGATGTCGCTTCCTGAAGGTCTCCACGTGCAGCTGCGTCTAGTAGAAAGTGAGTGCAAACATCCGTATGTTCTGTCGTTGATTTTGAGTCTTCCGAATAGCTTTTGGTTTCCGGAAGGCAGCGAACATGGCTCAGAATACACCGGTTTCCGCCGTCCTACCGGCCGTGTGGGGGCCCGAGTGGTGTCCGAAGTCGCATGGAGGCGATTGCGCCATATGTCGCCATACCTGAGCCCCAGCGTCTAGCAAGCCTGGATCCTCTTATCGGCAATTTCTGTTTCTCTGTCAAAGGGTTTCTTTTGAGAAGCCCGTTGTCTGACTGGCCGAGGAAAAGGGGAAACATTGAGTATGATGTCAGGCCTGATTGGCCGATGTTGCAGCGCTGCCTTCCTTCCCAGTGCATGGGAAACTTGGAGTGCCACACCGGACACATGGCATGGTTGTCCACTGCGGATCTAGAAAGGTTCATCCCAGCTGCATAAGAGTTTGAAGAGCCGATGACACCTTCCTTTTCTTCCATCTGCTGGCTTGCGGCTCTGCGACTCTCTCCTCCACACAACCCAACATTAATTCAATCAGCATGGCCCGCCCAAAGACATTGCATGGTGGTGAAAGAACTGAGAGGATGGTTGACGAAAGGTCGCCGCTCTTGTCAAATACTCGACGGGATTCGAGTTCGTCAGGTGAGAGCTCCTTGACTTCTTCGTCTTCTAGCGGAGACTCGGACGGCCAATTCCTTCCATGGCATCTCACACGGTCGTCAGAAGTTGTCGATTCGAGCGTCGATGTCGAACGAGTAGCACCCGTTACTGCTGCCAGCGATGATGTCAAGCCGCGAGCCACAGGAACTTCGACTTGGGCAGTGGTCAAGATCGTGTCTATCTTGTTGGTTGGAACCTTCACTGCTAATGCCGACGGTTCTCTGGTGATGGCAACGCACCCGACGATTGCGTCCGAATTTGACGATCTGGAGAATTCTAGCTGGCTCTTTGTGTCTTTTGCATTGGCAGGAGCGGCCACCCAGACTTTGGTTCGTAATCCTCCCAAAGAGTTAAGTGGGTTTGGCGACTAACACTGTGGAAAGTATGGCAAGCTCAGCGACATTTACGGGCGCCGTGCTCTTCTCATGGTGGCTTATACCCTGTTTTCTATTGGATGGTAGGGTCGATCATTGGTTTCCGCATGAATGTCAACTAATTGTTCAAAGCGCAATGGTAGGCGTTGGCCGCACAATGTGGCAGGTTGTGCTAGGCCGTGTTATTTCAGGATCTGGTGGCTCGGCATTGAACGTACTTGGGCTGCTTTTGGTGACAGGTAGACCACGACCGAGAACCTTTACGGCATGCCTCAGCTAACCTTGATAGATCTCGTTCCGCTCCGTGAAGTGGCTGCTTGGCAGGCAGGTATCAACCTAGCCGCAACAGTAGGACGAAGCCTTGGTGGACCTGTGGGAGGTTGGTTAGCCGACACCATTGGATGGCGATGGTCTTTCCTCGGCCAGGCTCCCATCTTCTTAGTTGCCGTCTTGCTGTGCTGGTTCTTCCTGCCAAGAGGCAAACAGCTTGGAAGGGGACAGGAAGACGCGGAAGCAAGCGGCAAGCCTGTCGACGGCAACAAGAGCTCCTTGGCGAGGATCGACTTCCTAGGCGCTGCATTATTGGCACTCTTCATCTTGACCTTTCTGCTCCCGATCGAGATCGGAGGCACCAAGATACCGTGGAGCCATCCACTTATCTTTGTGCTTTTTGGCGTAGCAGCCGTGTTTGGTGGTCTTTTTGCCGCCGTCGAAGAGTGGTGGGCCAAGGAGCCAATCTTTCCTCTAGAACTGCTGAAGCATCGCGATATCGTCTTGACGTACGTCATTAGCGGCGGGCAGGTTGCAGCTCAACTCGGTCTCATGTTCTCGGTTCCGCTCTATTTCCAGGTGACACAGCGAGTGTCCAATACTGTTGCTGGAATACATCTCTTCCCCGCTGTCTTTGGAAATGCCATCGGCGGCGTCCTTGCTGGATATCTGATCAGAAAGTAGGTCAACCCTCGGGCCTCAAGATCATTGTTGATAGCGACTTACTGACCCGCGTAGAACTGGTCGTTACAAATCTCTGTTGATCATTGCGACGATCGCATCAATGTTCTCCTACGTGCTTTTGCTACTTCGGTGGCATGGGGATACCAATGCATGGGAATCGCTTTACATCGTGCCTGGTGGGTTTGGGGCAGGCTTGGTACAGTCGGCGGGATTCATCAGCATTCAAGCTGCAGCAAACCCCAAGCACAAGGCCGCAGTGACGTCGGGAATGTTCTTGACGTTCCAAATCGGCATGATTCTTGGCCTGTCATGTGTGAGCGCCGTCATGATGGAGACGATGAGATGGCGGCTAGATGCACTGCTGGAAGGCATGGACCTCAGCGCAGTGGTGCGAAAGCAGGTAAGCAGAGGCCATTCGATGATTTTCACATGAGAAAGGCATCGCCGGTGTTAACATGAGCGCGGATAGATTATCGCAAAAGCAACGTCAAGCGTCGACTATATCGATCATGCGGATAAACAAGTTTCAGCAGCAATAGTTCAGGCGTACGTCGAGGGTTTAGGCTTCAGCCATGGCTTTTCACTCATATCATCAGCGCTGGCATTGATCGCGGCTGTTTTTGTTAGAGAGCACAAGTTGTGATGCAAAGCATCGGCGAGCGCATCGGAGCAGGACTCTTTCACCATACACGGCCATTGTTTGCTTATGTATAGCTGTGTGACTTTTGGCTGTGCGAAGAGAGCGAGGCGGGATTGCGAGGATATCGCACACCTTCGGTATACATAGAAGTTCAGTAGAAGAGAAGTCGAGTTGGCCTCAACAACATGACGAAGATGCCTGTCCAAGGTAAATGTACAGTAATCAGAAATACTCAACACGCTGCCAAGACACTGTGTGCTCCTTGAGTGGACCGTGCGCAACACGTCTTCGTGGCCAGTGTATCAAGGTGAATTGAGAGCGCCTCGTCTCATCAAATGACAACCGTTGGAGCACCGAGGAATTCCTCTCAGCAGAATCTTTCCAACCGCGCCGTTTACAATATACCTAGTACTGAAAGAACTCAGCGAAAAATCTGGGCAAGCTCGACGTTTATAGGTGGAATCGCAGTCTACCTAGATCACCTCCACTACTGGTATCCGACTCACTCTTGCCATTCCGGCCTCGCCGTCGCCTCATCACAACCACCCCTCAGGTGCCGCTACCAACATCATCACACAAGACTGCCCGCCAAGGGGAAAACGAACGGATTCATATAATCCATCACCAATAAAAATCAGCGACGATGCCGCCTAGGTCTATACAATATACTCTCTCCGTCGATGACCTACATGCCTTGGGGATACCCCGCGACTTGGACCCCAACTTGATAGCAGAACTACTCCAGAGAATTGGGACGGTCTCAGGGATTCCAAGACTGCCGCAGCAAAAGCCAAAGCAAGAGCAGAAGCATCCCTGCCGCAACTGTCTTGACATCTATCACAAGACGAAGCATTGCCCGGATCCCTGCGGCCACTGCGGCCAGGACTGGCACAACGTCGACGCCTGCACCAGCTCCAAGCGCAACCGCTGCCGCTGCAGCCCCTTTCCTCAACGACACCTCGCCAAGCAATGTCCCAAGATGTGTACACCGGGCGAATGTCCCACCTTTCACATTGGTGACAAGATCACAGCCATGATGTGCAAGGTACGCTGCTGCATGTGTGGTATTCCGGGCCACGCCGGCCGTGATTGCCACCTGAAGAAGTGCCGCTGCGGAGGGGAGCACTTGACCGTGGACCACATGCCTATGGATCGGCAGTGCGTCGTGATGGACTGCCCACGATGGTTCTGCACCAAGCATTGCCAGGCTTGCGAGATCGAGCTAGAGAAACTCAACGATGAAGTATGCCGGAGCTGCTGTGCCAAGCAGCAAATCCGGCCCTCTTTGCCACGGAAGCACCTACCGACGAATCCTGATTACGAGTACGTAGTCGCAGCGATGGTATGGGGCAACAGCAAGTATGGCAAGGCTATATTTGGCGATAATGTCATATTCCAAAAGCCGCCAATGGAGGAAGACCCGGGAGCTAAAGCAGCATAAAGTGGCTTGCTGGAGTGACGATATATCATATCCTTGAGCCGTCACGTTCAATATAATGAACTCCGTATATTCGTATACACATGTTTACTGAGCTTGAAATTGGAGCATTTACACCTCTTAGACTTGAGTTTTCAAAAAAAAAAAAAAAAAAAAAAAAATAGACTCTTGGTATTACTAGACCCGAAGATGTCGAGCTAAAAACCACCTTTGCAACTCTAGACCCGAGGCAATATCGGGGTCTTGTCAAGAATGCCGCATGTATGGTGGATGGTATCACGCGACGAAATCATCCTTTTAACTCCCTGCCAAAAGCAGACCCGCCCAGATGTATGTGCAAAGAACCTAGCAAAACGCCCCCAGTGAACATCAAGTTACTCTTTCAGTCATCCTCCCAGCCGCATCCATCGTCATCCACCTCGACCTTGGTGCCAAGAGCCTCTCTGCCTTGGCGAATCATTTCCTTGAGCCTCTGGTTGAAATCATTAATCCGCGCATCGGTGTCATGTTCGTCTTTGATTCGCCTGGCTGCTAGCTTCTTGGCCTCCACGTCGAGCCGGGGGCTTGCGCGGATAGAGTCTACTCCAAACTCCTTGAGTTTACCTCGAGGTGACGCTGCCGAGGCGCTGCTGTTAGAGCGGCGATGCGAGCGTATGGGTGGGCTCATTAATGATTGCGCCGGTGACGGAATGGCACTTTGGCGCCGGGCTGAGACGGTCGTTTTCGCGAATGGATTCGGGCTCGAGCCAGTGGACTGCATGGGAAGTGGAATACGGCTTGGCGAAGGCCCGGTAAAAGACCTAGGCGGCTCTGGCGATCTCACACTGGCGAAACTTGCTGGTTCCTGATATGACAGCGGCGCGGTGTCGGAGACATTGTATTCGAGGCTGGCAACAGATTGGCGGCGGTTGTGAATTGGGATCGAGCTGAGACGAGGCTTTGGAACACTAATCCTCCGGCCTGTGACCATGGAAGGGCGCATGTTACGGGATACTGGTCGCATCGATGCCCTCGACACTGGCCGGTTGCCTGGTGCTGACCCGTCAACCACAACCCAGTTTCGCAGCTCATCGTGATTCCCGGCACTCGTCTGTCGGCGTTTCACGGCCGGTCGCGAAGGGGTGGCCTCGACCTCGGCCTCGACCTCAGGTTCGGGATTCAGGGCTTGGTGTGGCTCCTGGGCATACGGTGTGAAGTTAGGTTGAGGGAACCCGCCGGGTGGCGTGGTAGCCCCAATGGGACTCTCCAAGTTTTGGGGACTTTGCGGTTGTCTCCATTCGTACTTCTCGCTGAACTTCTCGGATGGTTCGGGCTGAGGCACAGGCAAATTTGAAGTTGGAGCTGATGATGGACGAATGCTCTGGCCATCAATGGTATAAGCCTTGCCGCCCCCGGCGGAGAAGCCGATGAAGGCGCCAGCCTTGCAGAATTCCCAGACCTTGCCTACAACCCCACCAATAGTGTTGAGTGCAAATCGGCTCCAACCGCCGGCGACCGGATGGCTAGGCTGGACCAATACCATGGGCTGGCCTGGAATAGGCGACTCCATTTCTTCGTGCGGTCGTTTTGATCCCAAGGCTCTACGGTAATCGCCGTCCGAGTACATGCTCTCATCCAAGTTACCGTTGTCGAAAGGCGTGCTGATGCCGGTACCAGGTGTCTCAAGCTGGCCAGCCAGGGTGTATCGGGCTCCTCGGATCGGTAAAGGGGTCTCGTGCCTAGGGAGTTCGCTCGAGCTGTCTAGATTCATGGTACCATCGTTCCATTCGTTCAGTGGGGTTGCCGCGCGGGAAGCATCGTTGCGCCGTTTCCTCTTTGCCTGGGCTGATGGTGTATTTGCCTCGGCGTGAAAGCTGTTTGCCCTGGCGAAACAGTAGGAAGAGCCGGCGGAGGGAGAAGCGGGCGGTCGGAAGACGCCAGGGTGAACTCCGGCGGGTTGTGCGTCAAAGTAGGTGCCGGGCATTCGGTACTGGGATGTGAAGGCCATGGTGCAGGTCGGTGCAGGCGTCGGAGGCCAGGGCGACGTAACAAGGGATGTCGGAGGGCTCACGGGTGAGGCAATGGAGAAAAGTCGCGGGAACCACGGCAAGGGGGGGCCGAAGTAGTGACTGTCGGACTGTTCGTGTGGTGATTCACAATGTCGCAGAGCCTAGACGAAAGCTCATGATCGACCCGGAAACTAAGTCCTTGGCCTGAGTCTCGGGTCTCGGGTTTGGTGATGAAGACAAGCCGTGGTGCGCTGGCTCGTTTGTTGTCCGTCGTGCGACAGGCCGTGCGATGGCTGGCAGCAGGCGAGTGCTGTCAGATGGGGGAGAGAAGCGCCGCAAAGATGAAGCGACGAAGGATTCCCGTGTTGACAAGGCGCGCGTGCTCACTCGGACGATGTGTTGGTGTGTCGGCAGGCAGCTGTGGTTTGGTTGGAGAAGAGCGACCGTGGTCAAGTATTTTTTTTTTTGGGGGGGACCCCGGGGCGAGATAGTTTGGGTGACCTGGAAAGTAGCAAGGAACAGCTATGGGCAGCCAACAAGCTCGGTCCTGGAGTTGGGGAGAGCTTCGAGTGCCGGCAACAGCCGCTGATGATGAGCGTCTTGATTGGATATCGCGCGTGTCGGTTGGTCGGTCTAGACCCCGAATAAAGGGACGGCGCTAAGGGTGACGTCGAGTTTGTCATGCGCTCCTTTGCAAGAACCCAAGGGATTGTGTATGGTGCAGCCTGGAGATGTGCTGCGTGGCGATCCAATGGTTCCTTCGTACTTAGGTACCAGGGACGAAATCAACGTTGATCGTTGTAGACGATAAAAAGAAAAGTAGACGGGAGGACCGACAGCACAATAATCGTACGGGCCTGGATGTATGCGTATCCGCTGCCCGTCCCTGAATCAAAAGTCGGCACTAAAACTCAGACGAAGAGAGATGGGAGGCTGGCGAAGAAGGATGTTGAGCGGGGGGGGGAATTGAGGTGCACTCATTTTCTGCAGTGAGTCTGTGGCTGCGCGTCGTGTCATTTGTTCCGTTCGCTTTGCCTTTCCGCACCACCCGGTGATGCATGTCTGTCAGTGTCAAGCTGATATTAAGATTAATATTTCTACAGGGTCTCGCGATGGCTCCTTCTCAAGGTTCCCTGCACTGCACCTTCCCCCGGAAAATACTAAGGGAAAAAAAAAAAAAGACACCAGCCTCTTTTTTTAGCGAGAGGCATTATCCGTAGCTGTCTCAAAGAAGGAAGGCGCCATCGGTTGCCGGGGTGGATGATCATCTTGAGGTCCGAGCGCGTGGCTCTGCGAGAATGTAAACAGAGGGGCAGAACAACGGGGCGGTGATCCGGTGCCTGCCGTCGGTATAGGGGAGCACTCGTACCCGTGGACCTCACTATGAGGTGGACGAATATTCATGGATACGTATAGATACTCACAGAGTTGCATCTTGCGTCACTGCTCGACTGGTTCTATAAGCATAAAATCATTATTGTTTGCTAAGCTCCTCCCTATGCCCTAGGTATCATCTATCATACGCTACATGCGACACAATGCCATGCAAGCAACTTGTGCCAGGAGTCATGACCTAGTTTCCTCTTCGCGGCTCTAGAATCTGTCCTACCTTCCTTAGCACAACGGCGCCTAGGTTGAGGGTGGCTAGCACTGCTGACAGTTTTCACAGTCCGAAGTATCGCCTCCTTAAGGTAGTATCGGAGTGCATTGCTCTCGTCAGTCGTCTATTCGGTGCTTGCATCATTTGCGCTCGTAGTAATCGTCTTGCTGCTGGCGCCGGTCTTCCTGGACACCGCCTTCGGTGCCAGCCTCGCCATGGACGTGCTGTTGAGTGCCCCAGAAATGCTCGCGCTCCTTGAGCAGAGCGTCCGCCCATTCCTTGGTCTCGGGCAACGTGAACTTGGTCGCGACGTAGGCGAATTCGCCCAAGTCAAGTTTACCCTGGCCACGCTTCTCATACTCCATCATCTGGAGAAGCAGCTCCATCTTGTCCAGATCGTGCACGTAATGGCTGTTGAGGGTCTGGGAGTCCTCGTACTCTTGCCAGATCTCGCGAATCTCGGCACCTGGAATGCCGCCGTAGACACTGCCGAGCAGGTTCTTGGTAATGTAATCCATCGTCTCCGCCTCACGTCTGTTCTTCTCGGGCTTCGCAACCCCATCGACGGGCGTGATGTCTCCAACCAGAGACTCGGCCATATCGTGTATCAGGCACATTTTCATGCATCGCGCGAGATCGAGACGGGGCGCAAGGGTGGGCGGGGCGAGCATCGACAAGAGGGACATGCGGTACATGTGGTCGGCGATGGATTCTCCTCTATAAAGGCCCTTGTATTAGCGCATTACGACATCTATGTATCCGTACCTTGCAACAACGTGCAAAGTAGGGTACAGTACTAACCTTGCGATACCGAAGCGGCGCCAGCCCTCTCGCTTTGTGGTCTTGAGGCGCTCAATCAGATGGAAGTAAGGGAGCGGTGAGCCGGCCTCTGCGGGTCCTGTGGTGCCTGGAGAAATTTCCAGAGCCTTCTCGACGGTCCATGTTCCTTGGACTTTGGGGGTTTCGACGTGGCCCAAGTCTGCGCAAAAGATCAGCAAAGGAGGGCAAGAAGACAGTCGCGAAGACTGAGTAGACCTACTCTTGATATCCACCTCGCCATTGGCGCTGGAAGCACTGTTGGTGCCGTTGGGACCTGCGGAAGACATGATCGTAGAGTCGCTTGTATTCGTGGATGGATCGTTACAACACGTCTATTCCTGTTTCGCGGAGAGAAAGAAATGCGACAGAGCAGCCTTCTCGTGGAGCGGGGCAAAATACGCAGAGTGGAGGGAGAGAGTTGGTGGACGAAGAAGCAAGGCAATTATCGCGGGGTCCGTTGCTGGCGCTAAAGTGACGGATTCAGCCCAATGCAAGATCACTGGTCGCTGGTGTGAGAGAACAAGAAGCGACGAGGAAAGAGGCTGGAGGAACAGGCCTGATTGATATCAGAAATCGGAATGCGAATGTCAGGTTGGGAAAGCACGACTGAGGAACTGAAGAAAAAAAACAAACGGCTATGGTAGAAAGGGGTCATTCCGTTCCTGCCTGTGTTTGTCTTTCAACCTCCAAGTAAGGGTCATCCCAGCTTGATGTCACCACCGTCACAGGTAACTGCGACTGCAAGCAGCTGGCCGCCTGGCTTATCGGCTTTTTGCATTCACGACAGACGGCAGGCGGCCCCGACCGAAAGAGAGCCAACCTGCCTGCCCTGCAAATTCCATGAAGCTCGGCCCCACTCACATTCTACAACCATTCAGCGGCCCGCCATTTGCGATCCTTTCCGGTGACCTTACAAACTTCCATGGTCCACAGCAGATGGATACTTAATGCATAGAACCGGCGCTTCGCCGTTGGAGATATCAGTTCTGCAAAAAGGGTGGACAGCCGACATCGTTGTTAAAGCTCGACTTAACTACCTCTTGTAGCTTAGCCACTGAGCCACGAAGACATCTACAAATCATAGTCCGGAATCTCAACAGTACTGTTTCCTTCCAACGCCTCCTTGATTGCTTGGCAAACAATCAGTGCAGCAAGACCTGCCTGTGGCGAGCAGCTGGGTGATTCTTTGCCTTGGATCACACGGCAGAAATGCGCAAGCTGCAGTTCAAACGGGATTCCACCTTCTACCGCCAGCTTCTCTTTCGCCATCTCGGAATGCCACGACTTATTGGTGCTCTTGTACGACCATATCGACAAGTCAGGCACGCTAAGTGTTCCCTCGGAGCCAAATATTTGGTAAAAGTTCTGTCCCGTCTTGGGAATCAGAGGATTCTCACCCGTCCCCGCCTCAAAATTGTAGGGCGATGGGACGTTGTCTGAGATGAGGAACGTCCCGACAGCACCTGATTTGAATCGAAGTGTGAGGGCCGCACCTTCTTCGGCTTCATGACCTCGCTGCGACGTAGTCTTTTCCGCATGGGCTCTGGTGATTGGCCCCAAAAGATGATGGAGTAGGTCGATTTCGTGGATTGCATTGATCAAGATGACTCCTCCGTCTTTTCCCTGCCTCCATTCGGTAGGGACCTCGAAGTAATCGCCCGGCTTGTAGGTGGTCCAAAGCCCGTTGATGGCTATGATCTTGCCTAGAGCTCCAGAATCGAGTACCTTTTTGGTACTGATGATGTAGGGATTGAATCGTCGATGATGCCCTACGAGTGTCTTGACTTCAGTGGTTTGGAGATGACTCAGTAGCTCGGTGCCACTCGGGATATCGGAGCTGATGGGCTTCTCCACGAGCACATGGACCCCTCCCGAGGAAAGCTGCTTCGAAACGGCGACATGTGTGTGGTTCGGGGTACAAACAATTGCGGCTTGAGGCACATGTTCCGATTGCAAAAGGTCGCCAACAGAGGTGTAATGTGTTACGTTCAACTCAGCTGCCAGTTGAGCTCCAGCTGGCGCGGGATCGACCACGGCGACAAGATCCGCCTCGGAGCTTTGGACGACCGTTCTGGCATGTCTTGGGCCAATCAGACCCGTGCCGATAATCGCAAAGGAGATTCTGTCTTGGTGGCTCGTCATATTCGGATAATTGATGATTGGTAAATACTTGATGGATATTCTACTCAAAAGTAATGAAACACGCACGATGAGAGTAAAATTTGGCAAGGTCCAGAACTTGGGTAATGATTTGAGTCAGAATTCTCTCAGGCACAGGACGCAGGAGCCTTGATCCACCTTACTCGTGGACTGCAATGGAGCAAACCTCAGCTTTCTATATATCAGAATCCCGCGACATTGAATAACCGGCTTCAAGTCAAAGCGGAACTGCATTTACCCTGCACCATGCAAGAGTCCAGCTGAATCTCCGACAGCTGGCGTGCGGCAAAGATATCATACGTGCGCGCTGGGAACAATTTTGGGCCTGACTGACACGGTAATCGGCTTGGCCCCATCCCCCGCATAGCCAAGTGTTGGTTGGCTGAACCCCGCATTCCCCGGCCTATCGCGGGGAAGGACTCTTGACAGAGCCGAAATCGGTCTTGTTGAGATCGAAATCTACCTGGACTTGTTTACTTAATTGATATTTCGTTTATCACGATGAAAGCCGGCGACTCTAGCATTTAAACGACTGTGCCCTTTTCTTTGGGCTCATTATATCTACCGTTCCCGCAAGTTTTCACACCTGGCTTAATTCCGTGTTTGCAGGCGAGGATGGAGATGATAGGCTTGGTATCTCTTTTCAACTCGCATTATGAAGCGTAAAAGATGATATCCAGAGGATTTGGACTTTACGAATTGGTGATTTAGAAGTAGACTGACTGCCGTAAGTAGTCTGAGAAGAGCAGAAGGGAAATTTGTTCGATCGGAGGCCTTGTAAATACTAGGTAAGAGCATCGACTTGAGAAAGGGTATTGCCTTGTACCTTAGTACCATTGTGGGTGGAGAAGTGGTAAGATGCGGTATCAACGGGAAGCGCTCCAACGGGAACAGATCACCCGGCCTGCATGTCATGAGATCAGCAGTAATATTTCGTGGGTGACCGAACGCTCTGGGAAGACCTTGACATGGGAGTCTCTATGATAAACTTCTCTAGGATTTCAACACAAAGCGCATCCCAGAATGCGCCTATATTCTCCCTCCCAAAGTCCTCCGATCTCCTTGAATGGTTCAGTTCGATAACATCCGAAGTTGTTAGACAAGGTTTAATCCGACGCCTTGTGCCTTTGACTGACATTGCCAAGCTTGCCAGGCTTGCTCTGGGGGAAGCAAGTGAGACTGGACAATTGAAGTCTGTCTCAATAAAGCTCACTGTACACTAATACTACCCTATGCCTCCATTAACCTCATCGAGAAGGGATCCAACCAGAAAGGTTGTGTATTCAAAGTGAAGGATTACGCACCTAACTAACAGCATCCACAAATGTGAGGGGAAATTGTGGATCTCTGCTCTGAGTGGCCTTGTTTACGACACAACGGACGAGGGGTTCACTCTCCCGATGGGACGAAGGATTGCTGTAACCTGTTGCTCGGGCTTTTAAGATGCACTCGTCGCAAGTCGCATCTGAATGAGGGGCGAGCAAAGCGCCGAGAAAGAGCGGTATAAGAAGATGGCTACAGTCTCCCGAAAATAAGGTCCGCGTCGCAGTCGACCGTTGTCCAAGGAATCCACTGGCTCAAAGCCCCGAATTTTCTTCCAGATATGCGGCTTCTTGTCGCTCTCCTCGGGGCATCGCTGCTCTCACTTTCCGTGATTGCCGACTCAGGCAAGGACAGTGGCCAAAGCCCCAAGTTCTACAACTCAGCGCGTCATGCAGCCGCTGATCCTTATGTCTTTTATGACTCCGAGAAGGGCCAGTACTACGCGTATTCCACCGAGGGGGCCGATGAAGGATATCACTTTGCTATCTACATTAGCCCAGACCTTTCAACATGGCGCAAACATCCAGGAGGCGTCTTGAAAGCTTGTTACGACGATCAGACGAAACGAATAGATGGTGGTCAAGCTTGCTGGGCCCGGGACTGGTTCTGGGCCCCTGAAACCTACTACAACGAGAGAACCGGATGGTATTTTTTCATTTTCGCTGGCCGTTTACGGGAAGATCTGGCCAAAGATCACTTCCGATATTCCAAATTTGAGGAGCCCTCCAAGCTAGGAATCGCCGTCTCCCGCTCGCCTACAGGTCCTTTTAACGAGATCCGGTCAGAACCAATTGGCTACTATCCCTATGATCCGGATTATCACGACATCAATCTGGTCATGGATGATCAGCAAATGCTGCCACCAGAAAGTCTGGCCCAGGGAGAAGTTGCGCCAAAGGGCACGTACATACCTACTATTGATCCCAACATTTTCTTTGACAATGACGGCCGAATTTACTTATACACTTCACGAAATGCCTACCGAAATTGGAATTGGGACAGTACACTGAGTAAATATATCGAAGAATCCAACATTATCGTGGTTGAACTAGACCGGAAATGGTGGGATGATCCGTTTGCACAAACGATGCCAGAGATCGCGCCGTCTCAAATCAATCTACACGCAGACGATGCTACTGGAGTACCATCAAACATCACCTCCTACAACGGCACCGGCGAGATCGGAAATCCTCCTCGCAAAGACGGCTGGAAGACGGTCATTTCCTACGGCGCCGATCCGCAAGACTGGGAGAATTTCCACGTGGATGACTATGTCAAGTTCAATGGCACGAAGAAGAATCGCCGCTGGTCGGAAGGGAGCACGATCATCACAAGAAAAGACACTAGCGGCAAGTCGATATACTTGCTGACCTATAGCGCCAACAATTATGAAGCTTCCAATTACGGCGTCGGGTTTGCGACGGCAGAATCACCTCTGGGACCATTCAAGAAATCGTCGAAAAACCCTGTTCTCTCTCAAGCTCCCGATGGAGACTTGCCTATCTATTCAACGGGCCATGGGAGTATTGTTGCGTCACCTCCACCCAATAACAGAGTCAAGTTTAGCGCGCAAGAGGTCACAAGAAAAAGTCTGGATGGTACAGAGCTGTTCTATGTACACCATGCACGAAACGACACCACAAGAGATCGCTCCATCTACACCACACGCATGGAACTCAACGATTCTGCGATATTTTTTGGCTCTGATGATGCAATTAGCATGGGACTGACACCGCTTGACCAATCTCTACCTGAAAACACTTACCCAATCAAGTTTCAAGTCAGTTGCTCCGGTGATCGAAACTCTGGTGCCCGGTTCGACGTTCGTGTCATATCGAAAGCTGGCGCTCCCTTTGACCTCATGGAGGGAACAAATAGGGTGGTTTCTCTTCCTGGTGCCATTGAAGCAACCTCCATCGAGTCTGCTAAGAGGCGAGACGGTGGATACATTCTAAACTTCAACGGCACATCAGTGAGGGAGCTAGCATATCAACGATTAAGTGTCGACAAAAACTGGGTAACAGTTGAAAGCAAGGATATCAGATGTAAAACAACAAAGCGTCGTTTCCTGACGCAATTATGAAGGCGATTTCACAGGAATCGGAGACCAGGATTTATCGAGCAGTAGCTTAGAGATTGCCTGATCTTGTGGGTAAGGTAGCGCCTTCACGTCTTGAAGCACGACGTTCCTCAAACAAGGCAGAAGACGGTCGATTTGTTTTCAACTATAAAATGCACTGTAGATAAACATGGTCATATTTGACTTATTTCACTCTCAAATCATGTCAAGTTCGACGCCAAGCATTGATCCAAATCTTCCTAGAACAGGAGTGACATCTCTAAGTCCAGGACAAGAAGTAGTTTGTTCTCGTGCCACGGATGTCATAGCCAGCCAAAGGAGAGTTTCGCAAAATAATGTAGATAACTATGTGATCTAAGGTACAGGCATTCGGTAGCCTCATGCAGCAGCATATTGGATGGTAAAGGCTGTACATAGTACTGGTGTTGTGGTGTCTCGTCATGACCTAAGTGAGGGCAGGAGATGAAATCTCGATTCAAAGACTTTGGGTAACTTTGGTCTTAAAGAATGACTTTAAAGCCTCGGACAGACGAGTGACTGTTATTTCACCAGTCTTTGGGCACGGCATCGATGTACAGGCTGACAGGACCCTGGCTGGTGCAGACGGTGGATCCCAAAGGACCCGCGTGGCAGTAGGTGGGTACGTCCCGGTAGCCAGAGGCACCGCTTCTGAAGTTGAAGTTAGTGGATGTTCTCGAAGATGGAATGAACAATGGTAGCTTACGCAACTCCCCAGCGGTGATAAATGCGAACACCCCAGGCGTCGAAGATCCCTTTCACAAGGGCAAAGCTGTATTTGCTACTGCCACAAGAATACTTTTCTGCAAGGACGACGTCCCCAGTGACTCCACAGTACAGGTTATCGGCATCGTGGGCGGTGATGTGGAGCCCAACGCTGTCTACTGCTCCGTCAGGCTGGTGTCGGGCAGAGAAGTCAAGAATCAAGACATCCTCCACCAATGAAGGATTGGACTGGGGAGCAGGAGCAGCCATAGCTGCCGGTCCAAGAGCGATGAGTGTAAGAGTTGTGAACCGCATTGCGCCCTGGCCCCACGTTAGTGACTTTAGCGGGAGAAAGTGTGATTCAATTTAGCATGGCACCCACAGAGATTTGAATGAATTGTTGGCAGTTCTGGATGCAATGAATGCCGATGATGGAAGCTCAAAAGTCGAGTTGAACATAGAGGAAGTCGTATCCTTAAATATTCTCAAATGCATCAAAAGCCGGTATGCTCAGAGAAGGCGGACATCCCAAAATAGAGACCCTAAGCTGGAGTGACCAGCCAAGCGGTGAAAGACATGTAGACTGCGGGCCTTGGTTTACGAGATGTTGCATTCAGCGGCCTCGAAGCCGACAAGCGCTGGAAACCGTAGCATCACAAGACCGACGATCGTGTATATGCGCACCAAGGAATAATGCAAGAAGCGGACTTCCATTGTGATGTGGCGCCTCGTATTGGGTTTTCCGCCACACTTACATATGTGTTAATAGTATAAGCCCCCGGGGTGCCTGAAGTTCTCAGTAATAACTACTAGCCAGACCGGATGCCGTATATTAGCTTGGTACTGGCATACCGCGTTGACCGATCTGTAGCTGCAACTTCAGACTTGAGAATCCAGTCGGAGGTTATTACTCTACTGTCACGAGCTATGGCACGCAGCAATGGGCATATGAAGTGGGTTAAAGTGGCTTGAAGTAACCCATCTAGAATGAGCACATGAGAGCTGTCTATATACTAAGTGAGTGTGATATCCACGTGAGAAAGCACGTGGAAAGGTGCTTGACAAGTGCTGATACCATTCGTGTTTCGTGACATCTACCTATGAAGTTACGACGTATTACTAGACAAGCTAAAAGACAGCAGTTGACAAGAAATGTCATGCTTACACGTTTGTATGGCATGTAATATTAAGATTTCAGCGACAGAGTATTCCGAGTACGAACCCAAATCCACTGTTCCGGGCTTAGTCTGGTTGCATCAATTGGATCACGAGCCGCTGTTGCTTACTCAGGACCACATCGACGAAACGTAGCTTGCACCATGAACTCTTGCATACTTGTTATTGAGTCTTATTGATGGAGTCTGGCATTGATTCGAGATGGAATTCTTGCATAAATGATAATCACTCATTTTACCTGACCTCCTGACTTGCATCGATGTGACGTGGCATCGTTTAGGCAGGAGGACGCTTTCTTCCTGGTGATCTGATTCTTTATGCCAAGCAGAGCTCCTCAGCTCGCTTACTGATCACATAAGTGCGCCAACCCCATAGAAACCAAGTCCGAGGCTTATATAGGGCACCGGTTCCTACTGAATGCGTTCATGTGTTGTTGACTCTACGACGAACTCAGTTGACGTTTACAGTCCTATGAATCTACCAAGTATGCATCCTGCGAAGGAGTAGATGTTCATTCGATGCACTTGCATATACTCGGAGTTCGAAGCCCGGGCCCTTCAGAGAATTGAAGGTCATCTGGCAGACGCCCTTTCTAAGATTTCATGTATCGCGCCTAGTTGCAATGGTTCTCTAGCTTCGTAATCCTTCTTGGTCGCTTGATCGTTTTTAGGTTGAAGAGCCATTTCCTAGCTGGAACAGACTTTTCCACCAGTGTTGCGAGTCACCATTATTCTGCCGTCATGACAGCGCTACTTTGATCATAGGGCATCACAGATAATCCATAACTTTGTTTCCGTAGTATGACTTATGTCTGGTGGTGACGATAACAATCGGTCATGAATGTTGTAATGGTGAACTTGCGAAGGGCGGATGGAGTGTAACTTATCGGGCAATCTGAGATAACACAAACTTGGACGTATCCCTCACAGGGATCGAGTCTTACTGATACCACGTAGACTTCTATGACATGTGGCAACTGGCATTAAGGTTGCGAGAGGATGACTCCTATGTCGGGCACACTTGCCGCTTTTCATAGTACGTTATCTGTATCTAGGGTACCTTTAGACTTGCCTGTGGGGTTCGGGTTCTCCTGCCCAGCTGGATGCGTCTGCCACTTCTGGCCCACTTAACTAATGTGCCTGCCTGTCCCAAAGAGGAGTGTTAGAAGTGAATGAGCATAACGCTCTTTTCGACATCTAGGGTACTCTCGCATCGGCTTCTCTTGCACTTGTTCATCCACGCCTGAATCTCACAGGTACTTTCTGGCTGATCAGTAGAGCTATTACATATGATACGTGCTAATGTTTCACCCGAAAAATACAATGAGTCCAGTTATCTGTGAATCCGACACAGCCACCCCTGTACTGGTAATCGACTCGGCTTCACTTGACGAAATGGATAGCAATGATCACAAGACTTAGCTGCCGTCTCACTATATAACAGTCTATGACGACGCAGTAGATAATGTCTCAAGATTCATCATCTAATAGAACATACTCCTTTGGCCACATACTTCGTTGAGACCAAGGTTTAAATCAACCCGACAATATTAACATCGAATTATATTCTCACGGCTAGCTAATACTACCCGACATGGAAGATAAAGGCGCCACACTCGACATGTCTCTGTTCTTTGGAACAGAGGAGCAAAAAAGGCAATTCTGCAATGAGCTACTTCGTTTGCTCAAATCGCGAGGCGGCGTCAAGATTCAGAATCATAGCATACCAGCAGAGGACATCCACCAACTGTTCGAGATGGTAAGTTTGAAACAGAAGGAACCGATTGAGATGAAAGCTGATCGCAACAACAGAGTCGAAAATTCTTTGCTTTGCCACTGGAGGAGAAAATGAAAGCCAAGCACCCGCCTCAAGCCAATCCGAACCGAGGATACAGCTATGTCGGTCAAGAGAATGTCGCAAACATTAGTGGATACGAGAAAGGACTAGGGCCAGGCAGAACTCGCGATATCAAGGTACTACATGCTGCGAAAAGGATGGACCCAGGGCCCGATTGACTAACACGACTAGGAAACTCTGGACATGGGCAGCTCGCACGACGACCTTGTGGACAATCTTTGGGTCCCTGAAGAGAGCATTCCTGGCTTCCGAAACTTCATGGAATCCTTCTACGAAAAAGCCTACAAAACCGAAATCCAGCTCCTTTCTGCTCTCGCGATTGCTCTTGGGGTATCGGAAGACTATCTAAGGACACTTCATAACCGGGCGGAGAACGAGTTTCGTCTTCTTCATTACCCGGCGATTCCTGCCACGGAGCTCGCGGACGGTACAGCTACACGTATTGCTGAGCACACCGACTTTGGAACCATCACCATGCTTTTCCAAGATTCTGTTGGAGGCCTTCAAGTGGAGGATCAGAATCAGCCTGGAGTCTTCCGAAGCGTGGAATCCTTAGCGCCCACCGACATCATCCTCAACATCGGCGACTCTTTACAACGCTTGACCAATGACACTTTCCGTGCGGCTTGCCATCGTGTCACATACCCTCCTGCGATTAAGGCTGGCGACAACGTTGAGATTCCTGAGCGGTACTCTATTGCGTATTTCGTGAAGCCAAATCGCCATGCGTCTTTGCTTCCGATGAAGGAGTTTGTCACAGAAGCTACCCCGTGCCACTACGATGATGTGACTTCATGGGAATGGAACAACCGAAGGATTGCTAAGCTGTTTGGGTAGGGCATAGTTCACAGAACGAAGTCTGAATGGGAGACCATCGGCTCTTTCCTGGATACAAAGTAAGGCTGGTGGTGGTATTATAATAGAGGTCTTGGATGTATGGAGCTGATTGCAAGCAACGACAGTTTCCGGGGTTACTTTCCGATTTAGTCCAGCGCCAGTAGTAGACTTGAAACGATTGAAATGGGGATTGGCAATTAGGTACTCTGAGGTGTGAACACACGGTTAATTGTATGAATGAACCTTACCCTAAAGCAGCTGCACGAGTCCGCCCCGAGTCCCCTAATCATGGGGGAATAATTACAGTAGTTCACAAAAGTTTAAAATGTACAACTTTTCTTGTCTCACTTCGCCGGGGTAACAGACGGTGTACCTGGCTACTGGCCAGACGTGCAGCACCTATCGCTAACAGTTCCCGCGGAGACCTGCCAATAACAGTTGCAATACAGACCTAACTAGCCCTGTGGGACCAAGATAAAACATATTGAACACATACCCATATTCGCATTTCTTACCCAGACAATGCTTTTCCAAAGCCAATGCGGAGACGATCTTTATACATTGCCGAGTCATATATGCCGGACCATTTTGCCAAAGAACGTGTTATCTATTGTCCTCTATGAAGGTCTTTGTTTCCACGCACTGCTTCCACCGGTATCCTCCGAGTCCCTTACCTCAAGCCTGTAGGGCATTGACTGTATTATGCACACGTCGAGATCCAGAGGAGCACATTCTTTTGAAGGATGTAAGACGTGCAGGAAACGTCACCTGAAATGTGACCAGACTACACCCAGGTGTAGGCGATGTTGCCTCTCAGGCTTAGAATGCGATTTCAAAGCGGCTCTTCGTTGGGTCGTAGTGGCCGGCCCGGACGACTGTAGCACGTCCGTTCCTCCCACAAACGACGCTTCACAGTATTCTCGGCGTCACTTGTACTCTGGTGAGTCCGAGATCCTTGATTTGTGATCGTATGGCTGAATATGCAATGTTCCAGAAGAATTGAGAGAAGTGATGAGCACTTCTCTCATTGCAAATCTGCCCTCGACTGTCACCGAAGCTCTTTGCAGGATCGAGGACATGACCAAATCAGCGGAAATCAACAAGGACATGATTCTCACTGTTGGGCCATTCGGTGTCTTCAATGGAGCGTATGCAGCTGAAGACGGGAAGCCAAAGGTCGAGCAAGGTGCGAAGCCGAATATCGCAGTGGCCGAGAAATGCACTACCGACGATCCCCCCATTATCTCGTTTTCGGAAGGCACTGTCTCACCCTTCACCGAATGCAATCCTATGCGAGGCAACAATGACGCCGCTACCGATATCTCGGGCTATTCCGGACCTAACGAGAACGACTTCACGATGTCTAACGCCCTCGATGAGCTGTTCTCGGACTCTCTAGATTTCCTTCAATGGGGGGACTTGTTCACCTGGGATATCGAAGTGAACAATTCTCCCCAGCCAAGCTATTCCATGGACTGTGTTTCAATGACCAATCAACCAGTATGCGATATGCTAGACGGCTGGACACTCTGTGAAACGACGATCAATTCGCAGACAAAGGACACCCGAGAGTCCGACAGCATACAACCTGGCGCCATATTACAGCCACAAGAAGATCTAGTCGTGGATGCTCCGCTTCTACTCAGGCACTTCTATGACGAAGTGATCAATCAGATGGGCTCACTGCCGATTAACGAGAAGTCCGCTTGGAGAATCTTGAACTTTCCTTCTGCTATCGTAACACTCAGTCAGCTTACTATCCTTGGACTTTCCATTAATGATATACGACACGCCAACCTATCAAACCTCTATGCCATCATTGCGGTATCCGCATTTCATTTATCACTCAACTCAGATAACTTTCCAGAGCTAGCTAAGCCGGAGCGGTACTGGATGTCTCTTTCTAAGAGGACATATGAATGTGCCAAGTCCCAATTAAAGCTTAGCTTCGAGGAAGAATCTGCTACTCCTACCAAAGCCAAATACAAGGAACAACTAATGGCCGCCGCAGCCATTCTTGCAACCGCTGTAGGTACTTCACAAATTCCACATGATTCTGGCATTCTGCTAACTCCGAAACAGCTATTGTCTGGTAACGAACAAGACACATGTCGCTATCTCCTAGAAATGGAGAGGTTGATACGTGTTCGCGGATTGCGAAAGTCAAAGTTATCACGTCGAGCGCGACTGTTGCATAATATTTACGCCTGGATGAGGATAGTCTCGGAAAGCACTAAGACATTCCATGACGAAGCACCAATACTCGACTCAAAGAGCATTAATGAGGTCTGGGTTACTGCTCATGACCAGGCTCAGCTCGGAACAGCATCATCTAGACCAGCCATCCCCAGCTCAGAGTCGCTGAGAAAAGGCTACCCAGAAATTACTCTTGATAACTTTCTTCACTTGGAACCTTTCCAACTTCATCCTGACCACACTTCCGGTAGGCCCATCAACGTTGATGTGCCCCTTACTAACAAAGACATACATCTGGCGAGTTCGATACAGGACCAAGAAGACATGTATATGCAGATCTACGGCGTGCCTGAAACTTGGCTGAGGCTTGTATCTCAGATCACGCGACTCGCCAACGTCATGGATCATCTTGCGCCAAAGGAAAGCCAGCCTGACGCCATAAAAATGGCAGCACTGCAGCCAAAGGCATCTTATCTCGAGGAAGCTGTCTGTGCTTTCAGAGCAAGATACGACAGTCAGCATGAACAGGATCTGGCTGACGAGAAGCCCCATGTGCACATGGTGCGGGCATTAAGCCCAGCCCTGATGATATTTTTTTATCGAAGGATTCGAAAGATTAATCCCATGCTGCTCCAGGAAAGCGTCGATGAAGTGATGGAAGCTTTGCAAGCGTTCGATGAAGCGCTGAGCCGGAACAAGTTGCTAGGGCCAGGCACAGCTTGGCCAGCTTTCATTGCAGGCGCAGAAGCGACGAAACCAGAGAAACGGGAGCAGTTTAGTTCTTGGCTATTGAAAGCCCATGCTAAGTCTGGATGGAAAGGTTACTGCGTGTCGAGGGAAGTTTTGCGTGAGGTTTGGAGAAATCAGGATGCTGATTATAACACGTCAAGACGCTCAACGTGGGTAGATGTTTGCAGGGCGAACCGTCGCTGGCCACTACTATGTTGAGACACATGCAAAGGATGGCTGCGATAGAATGATAAGCAGCAAGCTGGGTTCATGTCCATTTGTATGTGGGGATTAGTCAAGGCAAACGCGAGTCTCGAGGCATGTGCAAGCCTTCGAATGATGTTACGTTAAATCAGGAGTATGTATTCAATAGTGCGGTACGCCTTTACTTGATCAATGTATCTAAGCGACAGATAGCATCCCAATAAAGTGTGCTCTAAATATGCTTCTCGTTGAGTTCACTAGCGTTCCTATTCAGGTCTTCATCGTCGAGCTTCTTGGCGCTATTATGACCTCCAGTCAATTCGAACACTGCGATGAGATGTGTTAGTGAATTCAGCTTTAAACGAAAGAAGGGGACGTGATGGGAGTCCAAGGCAATAGAGACTTGGAAAAGCTTTGACTTACAATCAACGGGGGTGGTCGCGAACTGACGAGCCGGAGTCCTCTTCTGGAACAGGTAGTCCAGCTCTGCGAAAGTGCGGTTCTTAGTTTCAGGGAGGAAGAAGAAGATCAGTACAGCCCAGAGGCAGCAAAGTCCGAAGTAGAACAACCCAGTCTTCGCACCCCAATTCCAAGAGTCGCTGCTGGAGTTAAGCATGCGGGGGTTGAGCTGCTGCACGACGATTTGGCCAACAACGTAGATAGCGCGACCCAGAACAATGGTTTGAGCTCGAACGCGACTCGAGGGCGTCTCTCCGACAATGGTGTATGTTGTCGGACCCAGCGATAGCTTAAAGGTCAGGTTGACAATAATCATGACCACAGCTACAGCGAGAGCAACGTTGGTTTTTCCTGGGATGAAACCTAGAATGCCGATGACGAGCATGAGGAGACCAATTATTGAGGAACCCCAGAAGAAGAAGACGCGACGCCCAACTCTGCCCATGAGTGAAATAGCAATCGCAGTGCCCACGATGTTGCCCGACTGGATACCCATGCTGAAGTCAAAGGCTCGGACCTCTGGCATACCGGCCGATTGTAAGAAGATGGTGGCATAGGCGCAGATGGCCTGGCCATTGAGAATTTGAATCAGCCAAGCCATGGCCACAATGCCTGTGCGGCGCAAGTTGGTACCATGGAAACAATCGCGGTAGCTAGCGCCAGCTGACTCAATCTTCTCCATTTCGTTGGTGTGTCTCATCAGAGCCAAAGTCTGAGCCATGGTCTCTTCGGTATAGAAGTTCTTGCGGGCAAGACGGCGTAGGGATTTCTCGGCCTCCTCGATGCGGCCACGGCGAACAAGGTACCATGGACTTTCAGGGGCGAGAAAGCCAACAGTGAACAGAGGTACCACCCAAACCCATTGGAGGGCGTAAGGAATCTTCCATGCCAAGTCTCCCTTCAGGCCTAGGGAACCACGAAGAACGCCGGCGGCAAGGAACGACCCGCAGCCCCAACACATGGAAACCCAGGCAGTCAAATAGCCTCGCATTGCGGCAGGGCAAATTTCGGCAGCGTAGGCGGTGGTTAGGGTCTGGAAGATACCCCAGGGAATGCCGCACAAAATGTTGGCGGCGAAGAGCATTTGAACGTTGACTGCGAAGAACAACGAAAATATCGTGCATCCCATGAGTGCCATGGCACCCATGTAAACTCGTCGGGAACCATAGCGGGACTGAAGCCAGCCGTTCAAAAGTAGTCCAATGATGCTACCGAGGTTGTTGCCGTTACCGATGGCCGCTTGCCACGAAGTCGGAATATGTTGCTTGCCGTTGGCGTCTGGCCAGCCGAACCTCCTCAGATACGCCTTTTGTCCAAAGAAGTTGTTGACAAGACCGACGTCCATGCCTTCCATAATCAGGGCCATGCTTAGGAGCATACTGTAGATGGCAGCCGGCAGATATCGTGACACGAGCTCCTTGCGAGGCAGCCTAGTCTCTTCTTCGCTAGCGGCTGCGGCAGCCTGGATAAGAGCAATGTTGGGAGTGTATGTGCCATATTCTGCATGGTCAACGGACCTGGACCTGGCCTTGGCCAAGGTTCCGGGCAGCCCCTTTTCGTTGTCGGTCATCGTGACACTCTAGTCGCCTAAGCTGATGCTTTATGTGACGATGATAGCGGGAAGTGATGTGGTTAAAGAAGACAGGAGACCTGCCAGTAAGCAGAAGAGCGGAAGATGGAGAAGATAAGCACTTTTGCGTTTGCACGTCTGAATACCATTGACTGGACCGGTTCCCTGGTTGCCAAGATGCCAAGGAGTATCCTCCAACCACCTGCTCTTCATGCTAGGATTATTCGCGCAAGTTCAAACCCGAGTATGGATTGCGTGAACTCAGTTTCCCCACACCGTCCCCATGGGGTTTACAGTTGTCCCTTTGGGGAATGCGTAAATGAAGCGGGGATAGAAGACGAAGTTCTGGGGTATCTTTCGACCGAGCGCGTGAGGATATTGCTAGTGGAGGAGCTCCTTTGCGCCGATAGATCAGGTGCCTCTTTGATGCAGAAGTATCTACTAGGATCTCGACCTCTCCCTCAGATTGTTTTCGAGATGGTGTGGTGCAGCGTGCTCGTGTCTGGACGAACTACTGCATGGCCGATGCACTGAAACCTGAAAGCTGATGGTCATGGGTAACGATGCCCATGTCTTGGCTGCATGCAACAGCCCGACACAAAGATAGGAATGCAGACGGTGAAGTTTACGAGAAGCGATTGAGGCTGCGAGCATTGTATCGTCTGACGGGACTAGTGTGCCGGAAGAAACAGGAGGAAACAAGGTACTTTCGCACGAGCTCTGTGCGTACTTGGAATGATTTAGTCATGTCCCCAAGTCATTTCAGTTCGTCTTGAGATTTAGCGAAGCCAACTTTGTTTCCTCTCCGTCGAGCTTGCCCAGCGCGGTGCCTAGTCTTGGCTTCTTGGCTCCCAAGCCCCTTGCGCCGCAGCTGCAATTTCACATCGGACTCACGCACTTGATATGGATTAGTCTACATCTGTCGCCGTCAGATAGCCCGGTATCACTGCAGAAAGCCTGAAGGATTTGGGGATTGAGGAGGATACCAACATATTCTGCATGCGGCGTGCTCATTCAAGCCCATGATAAGTAAGGTAAGTCAGACGCGGAGTGGGATTGAGGTCGACTTTTGCGAAACAAAAGGCGGGCAGTGACTGGGCCCTTGATGTCGGGCGAGCTGGTGTCTCCCTATTGGCCTGATGCACCCACCTGGGGACTTTTGCTGGGGTAATAAACGCGGGGTGGAGGTGACACTTCCGAAGTTCTGGTTCACTCTCCGCTTTTTCTAGTTATTGCATCCTGTTATCCGTGCGATGCCACATTGTTTTCACAGGCGATGACAATTGCAATGTGATTTCATCATCATCTCATCCTACAGCTGGGTCAGAGATGTACCCATTGTTCCTCATTCGCGTTGCTCCACTGGATAAAGTAGATATGAGACTTTTGTTTTCATTGCATCAGTGTCTTCACCGTGGATCGGGAACAACCATGTAAACGGGGCACTTCAGGCAGTTGGAGGGAGGAGGAATCCCTCGAGTTTGATTTGTTGTCATTTCAAGGCACACCTCGGTCGACTTAGACCGAAGGCCAAGACACAACACAGTTTGCCCAGCCTTGGTAAACGCCACCAAATATTCATTCCACCACTAGGATGATAGGAGAAGCGAGCGTGTTCCTAGGTGTGTTGGGCTTGGGCTGAAGAGACTCGATGAGCTGCTACTTGAAACCTGTGGAACATGTTGGTTTTGACAAAGTCCGTTACCTCTTCTTCTGAAATCCTGCTACACCCTCCGTGCCGCAAGCCGAAAGGGGCAATGTTGTTCGACTTGGCTACCACACCCTCGTAGTGCCTACATGCTCCGAAGACTCACCTCACTGCTGGTGGAATGTTGATGTGACCCGCCACCCAGGACTGAAATACTAATAGCTGGTACACGCTTGCATCGCACTTGCATTGCGTGAGGCAGGGTCGGAGAGCAGCCGAAATCCTAGTTGCTTAGAGTATGTTGATTCGTTATTACCGATTACTTGATGCTCTAGTCCATCGAAACTTGAGCACCTCAAGAGGGAGATCATATTCTTGTCTGGTCTTGCTCGCAATACGCAGTGCCTAGTATTGCCTACCATTACAAGAGATTGTGGGAATGATCATGGCAACAACAGGTGCACTTGTAATATATTGAGTAGGCTGGAACAAATGTTGCCAAGTGGAAGAGATAAGGAGTAAAAGAATATTTATTCAGTCATTTTTCGTTTGCATCACTGATTCATTCAAAGAGGCTGCTGAGTTTATTATTATGCCTTGATAGTCAACCAAAGAAAGTCGAAAGTGCACAACTCCGCCGAAATGCTGAATGACCTACTACCTTAGGAATCGGAACCGCAAGAAATCAGAAGCTGTTTACGCTTCATAGGCCTGGGAAATAAAACTATGAGATACATCTCTCCCCCTATGGGTAAGGTAAACTACCAAGTAGTCTGTTTTTGGTATTGACTATACAATAGCAATCCAGAAATTGGGCCACGACTCAGTCCGAAGTTTCTCAAATCGATACTTGCAACGTAAGAAGACATATTGCTATTGGGAAAGAGGTCTTGCTGAGCAACATCACGTTATTCACTGCGTGGTACATAACAGAAAACAATCTACTCACGGTCGCTAAGATCTAGAAAGCTAAGTAGACGTCACTTACTAAGGTACGCATCGTATCTTGGCGAACAACTTGGGAAGCTGCCCACTTCGTCGGAAATAACATGTGAAAGAGTCTTGATTTTGATTGGGAAGTTGAAGCTTTCAACCGTACCGTCGAAAAACTTCTGAGTGAAGTAGTCGTAGAGTAACTGGCCTTAAATAAGAGCTCGTCGGTAATTGTTCTACCTAATTCAGACGCAAAATGTCTCAATTTAGCAAGAACCTTTCCTTATGGGCCAAGTTCGAACTAACGTATCTCACCCTTGACAAGAATTGAACTTACCAAAGCCTACCAGTACTATAAATTGATTTCTTAAATCTTACTCAATAACACTCGGTTTTATTGCAAACGACGGGGAAAGTTACAAACCGTTCGTTAATTTTGCAGATAACGGGTGGTCCTAGTGTAGCCAAAAACACCTCACCAATGCGGATACTTCTCAATAGCAGGGTGGCATTAACCACCAATCATCAACTCCGTCCTGAACCGGTTTTACCTGTTTAGAGATGCTGTAGACTCTTGATCAGCGGCACTTCTCGGTTCGTCTGTCCAGTCCGTATACACTGACTAAATACCAACAACTCAAGGAAGTATCGTCAACTATAATGTATGAAATCGAAAAGAAACACTGCAATTTCTGAATAATGTCCGTGATGTAGATTAAAGACCCAAGGTAGGCGAACTACAAGCAGGTCGCTAAAGGAGAGAGCGAGGCTTGAGAAAGGCTAAGTTGCCGAACCCTAGGATTGTCCATCATCTCGATCCCGCGAAGTTAACTTAGATATGCCTAGTTTAACCAGAACTTCTTGACGACGTTATAAGTACGGTACTTCCTTAGCAAGGTTCTTACCCCCGGGCCGTCGCACGACTGATCACCACCGTAGTAACACTGACCGGTCCTTACTATCGAATTAATCCTAGTATATCTGGATCGTTTAGCTCTTGACGGACTGTGTATTTTATATAGGTACCGATATAAAAGCCCCTCGTCGGTACCGGAGATCAGAATCGTAAATAGCTTCCAGATTCCTGGCTTCCCGAGCCCGTGTTATAGTAGGGGCTCCGTTAAAAACCCGATATATATACTATGATCCAGAATAAACTTAAAAGCACTTGACTCGGATCTAGCGATCTGCAACGGACTTTGTTACTCCGCTGAGACGAGATACTACACTTGAAGGGATACAAAATTAACAGATCTTCTTATATACTAGATGTTAGGGAGTTATAAAATTTTCTCTTTATATAGGTATCTATAAGCAGGGGCTTTAAGGGACAAATCACCTATTGGCCTCGTATGAGATGGAATTCAATGAATTGTATATCATGAGCCTTCTCTCTCATATGTATCCACGGCATCATAGTCGGGCACTAGCAGAGGAAGCCTAGTCACGAAATTATCCAGCATAAGTACTTCACTGACAGTATGGATTTTTTATTAATCTCAAGACCCAAACGACCGCAATTCGGCTCTACTTCGTATGAATATAAAGCCTTAGTTTCCATCAGCCTCCTCGCTAAACGTCGACTGTAGCAAAGATTAGTATTTAATTTAATTCCTAACTATATTTATACAGGGGTTGGTCAAGTCAAAATACTGCTGCAAGGTTGCATCAGTGCGTAAAAACAAGATGGCAGTGCACGAGGCCGAAAAATATTACGGATAGTACTATACATAAGTATCCACAGCATAGCAGAACCGTAATAAACAAATGGAGGCATCCAATATTTTAAGCTCCTTTCTACACAGCAACTTTGAATTTTATCTATAAAATAGAGAGATCGTCTCGGGCTTGTCTTCGGTCCCATAAGTAAGAGATTTACCTTATAACTTAGGTACCGCTTTTAGATCTAAAGACTTGCTTCCTTCGCAGAGCAGGTAGGCATCTCTTATAGCGGAACAAAACCGCTACGAAAATTCTACAGACGAAGATCAACATAATATAACATCTCGCTGACGACGTTCTAGACTACATGGTTTATAATAGCTAACATACTTAATTAATAGGTATTATTATACTAATACCTTAGTAAACTAGATACACTTCTCCATCCTCGCATTATTCAATTGGAGTTGACATGGCGAGTGATTGTAATGATGTTAATTCAGAAGCAGATTGTTGTTTGAGAATTCGTTTCCGTGAAGACTAGGTAGCGGATATGTACACTAGGGAATGCGCCCGTACCGCATTTCATACGCGTTTTTTTCTCCTAGAAAAGTAGGCTGGTATTATTATTGCGTGAATATGAAAGGAGGATGAAGTAGGGGAAGCTTATGGATCACTGCGCGGTACCTTACTTATGCAAGGCGGCCGGACGCAATCTGAGTTGGCCATGGGTCCTCTACCGCCTTCTATATTGCCGCGTTTCTGTCGAATTTCCAATTCCATTGGAATGCAAACCATCTGCTCGATATCCCTTTATTTATCCCCGTTGATGATCTGTTTGAAATCAGTCTTGACATGAATATGACGTCCGAACTCGCTGTCATGCCCGCTATGTACACTTCCACAGCCTTCGCCACCGACTATTCGACTCTGTAAGGCAATCTCATCATCTAATCTTAACCTAGGTCTTGTGCTTCGAGTTCCCCTCGATCCCAACGGGTAAGTCGACCCCTTCCCGTCCAAGCTGCTGGAGTCGATCTTTCTCCCCCGTATCGCCCTGAGCAATGGCTTGAAGCTAGGAAGACAGGCAGAAAGGATACCCACAGAAGGCTCGACTGAAGACCAGATAGCCACGGGACCCATCATCCATGTTATATCGGTTGCCGTAGAAAACTGCTTGAGGTAGTGAACTCGAACGGCGCTCGCAATTCAGACGCTGGCGGGCGAATTAGTGCGGGATACCGAGGGCTTTTTGCTGGTCACTTACAAGCCTCCCAGGCTGAGAATGCCACAGACGACAACCTTCTTCTCCTTGGTCATTTGAAGCCTGAGAATCTCAGGTACCGGAATGGCGAGCAGTATCACATCTGTGGAGAGATTGATAATGGCCAAAATAAAGAAGAAGCGGCCTACGTCTATACACGTTCCTACAGTGCCGTAAAATTGAGTCCAGTAGTGAGAAAGGGGGTTGCAACAAAACCCTATTGTTATCATGAAGTAGACAGCATATGAGCCGACGAGAAGGGCACCTATCCACATGGAAAGCCGAAAGGATAGCACGTTACCCATGAAAACGCGCCAGTAGAAGAGGAGGATCGAGATCTTGGTCGTGAATACCGCGGTACAGAAGATAAAACTATAGATGTATAACAACTGAAGATGTCAGTCCGCTGTCATGATATTAGTATCTTACAAAACTTGCCTCGGATGTCTGAACCAGATCATCTACACCGAGAGCCCAAACATGACGACCAGCTCCAGCTTGACCAACTATAGCCTGTTAGTATTTTATCCAAGGTAACCACGGTATTGTGGCTCCTTATCAAGAAGATTTCTTAACCTACTTGCTATGACCATTCCTGCCGTGGCGGCCACAAGTATCAAAGCTATCACAATGGCATAGTCATCGAGGCTCAGACCAGGGCCGTACTTGCCACGGGCAATCAAACGACTAGCAACAGAAAGAGCGGCAATTGCGAGAAGAACAATGACGATGGAATTGTTTTTGGTCGCCTGGTTTTCGGCCAAGTCAACACCTTCTGGTGGTGGTCCGAAGGCAGCTGTGATGAGGGGATCTAACGCCATGGTAAACAGTCCGTATGCGTTAAAACTGGGAATTCGATTATTGAGGCTCGATATTCAATATAAAGTTTTCACGAAAGCTTGGGACGATGACGAAGTGAGAAGGCGACGGGCGAGAGATTTTGCCCAAGTCTGAGTCTCCAAGAGGGCCAGAACTCAGGCATTGGGCCGAAGCAAGGCCCAGTCAAAGACCTTTTGTTCGTACATGGGTAAGATGGTACACGGCCCACTGTCTACGGAGAAGACTGATCTATGAGGCATCATTGCCACTTCGATTGTTTGAGTGCTGTTAATCACGGGCTGCTGTTGCTGGGATGAGTTAAACCCTGATTTTCTCATCGGAGTACCTCCCGCTAAAGGAAAGTGAGTTGTTGCAATTCTGCGATCCAGTTCGACCAACACAAGGTGACAAGCAAGTGAGAGGCCTTGCTGTACAGCGGGCATTACTTAAGTGGCACTTGTGGATTCAAACCAACGAAACTTCGTGGTCATGTCAATCAAGTCCGTTGAACCAACACCGTGCAGTGGAGACAGCCCTTCGGCAACATGCAACTTCAGGCATCACGTCAAGTCCCAACCAACGATAGGTCCGAATCCCAACCAACAGTGAGAAGTGAAAACACGCCATTATTGCTTGCTCAGTCCTCCGGAAGTGATCTCAGGACTACCCGGGTGGAACTATTCAAGGTGTATCTGGCTTGGCGATGGATTCGACAAAGGTGCTTTCCCGCTCAGGGCATTTATACGAGCCAAAAACCATCAACTGATCATTACTTTCACTTTGAATTCTCATAAGCAGTATTAGATATACTGTCACAGAAGACTCTTTGAGGTCCAAAAATCAACACGAAGAAACACCATTGAAGCCATGGGATCTGTTCCAGACACTCACTTCTCGGAGATTCCGCAGCTCACCCCTCTCGAGCAGATTAGCCCTAGAGGGTGGGTGCGTTATCTCTTTCCATTCAAACTCTCAGAAGACTATCAGCCTGAAGCTATCGCCGATATCCTTCGCAGGAGTCTCCTGGCTACCAAGCAGCGCCTTCCAACATTGGCTTGCGAGGCTGTCCCCGACCCTGATGCGAGACAAGCCAACGCTATCAAGCTTCAAAGAATTACCGACAACGAGATCGAGCCAGTCATCATCAATGATCTACGTCATTCAGAAACCTTCACGATATCGTTCAAAGAGCTTGAGGTCAAGCACTTCCCTGTCTCGAGCTTCCCAGCTGAAGTCTTCACCCGCTGCCCTATCTGGCCTGCCCCTGGACAACGGATACCAATTACAATCGTACAAGCCAACTTTATCCGCGGTGGCTTGATTCTCAATTGGAATCTTTTCCACCTTGTAGGCGACGGACAAACATTCTACAACTGGATTCGGGTGTGGGCCGAAGAAACTCGTCGGGCTCAGGGTCTAGCGATTTCGGACCCAGTTCGCTATGATGACTGCATATACATGGACCGCCAAATTGCACAGGGGTTTCCACAGATACTTCCCAAGGGCATGGCCGGACGTCTCGAAGACCACTCCGAGTACACCATCGTCACTGATCCTGCGACGCAGCTGGCCAAGATCGCCACAACAGATGGCCACATTGGACAAGTCTTCTATCTATCCCAAGAATCGCTAAGGAGATTAAAGGAGGATGCCCAGCCTCGAACAGGAGACGGGTCCTACGTATCGACCAATGACGCGCTCTCAGCCTTGATATGGCGGAGCATTATGGCAGCACAATTTGACTTGGCTCAGCTAGACGGCAGCGAGAATTCTGTTTTCAACATCGCCATTGACGGCCGAGGACGAAGCCGACCACTAATCCACCCTGAAGCTATGGGCAGTTTCCTTGGCTTCATTCAAGTCGAGCTTCCCATCAGGGAGATTCTTGAGGCCGACAACCTCGCAACCTTGTCATTGCTGATTCGCAAAGCCGTCATTGCCATGGATGAGAAGTTCGCAGGCTCCTTCATCAACGATGTCATTCAGCTCGTAAATGACCAGGATGATCTCGGTGCACTGATACCAACGTCGTTTTTGGACGTGCCTGGGCGGAACTGCGCGCAGACGTCTTGGGAAAAGTTCAAGATGTATGATTTGAACTGGGGCAACGCTCTTGGGGGCAAGATTGCTGCCATCCGCTCACCTAGCTGCGGTATTCTGAATGGCATGCAGATCATGTATCCTCAACACCCCGATGGGGGTCGTGAGATGCTGGTCGGAATTTACGAGAGTTGCTTGGACAAACTTTGCAACGACCCGACTTGGGCTAGATATGCAAAGCGTCGATAGATTTTAAGCAGGCAATTATCGATTTGAAATTAGATCCCATACTCGCAGGACTAGAGATGAATGATTGAGACTAGAGAAACTGAGGAGACTTAGGTCTCTGGGTAGCGAAGCCTTTGAAGATAATACGATTCCACCCGTATATTCTGATAGGTTAAGAGGTGAACATCCTGAAATTCAACACATAAGGCTTCGCATCATACAGTGAAAGGAGCATAAGCCTATTATAATCTAACGCGGTATTAAAGTCATAACAAATAAATAATTCTACAGCGGGCTATAACCCTCCTAGCAGAACTCATTTAAAGAAGAAAGTTATTTTTATTTACTAATTAAGGAAGTGTTTCATATTATTTTAATATATATAGTTATGTTTTTTGAAATTACCGTACTACTAGAGTCCTCCTTACTCTATACGCTTAGGGTTACTTTAGCTAGCCCCCTATTAGCTTCCCTACTCGTGTTAAAGGGTAAAGTAAGGGAGTAATTCTTAGTACTCAGAATACAAACTCTTGGGGCGCACCTCCTGCCTAATATAGTATATGATATCTATAATGCGCCTCCCCCAATACGGAAGGTAGCATCCTCATGCGCTATTAGCGCAATCAGTACTTATGACATGTATTATCACTCCCATACCTCCCCCCCCCCTCCCTAAGGACTTAACTACACAAACCAATCAGAGTGAAGCCATGAGGGGCTCTTGTTACTCCGTACTGATCATTGCTTATGTACGTGCCCACGTTGCTTAAAAGGATTGTACCGTGCCTCTCTTCATTCCTCACCTTACGAGATTCGGTAAGCTTCACTCTCATTTATATCCTTGTGTTCGCTCAAAGCCGAACCGGTACTGTGAGGACTAAATTCTTTCCTGGCCATACAACCATACCCTTTTACCAACAAACCTTCAATAATTGACTAGGCTTCACACAATGAATAATGTGTCGAATGTCTGCCACGATGAGCTTTTCGGGCCAGCCGTCGCCATGGAGTCTTGTCGAGGCGGGTTCGACTTCACAGGTACGCAGCCCTTGAATGATAATGCGAGACTTTGTGGCTAGTCACTGACATGATATTTCATAGTGCTATTTGAAGAAAGCGTCCTGTCTATCCCACTTTCGGCTGGATTTCTCCTGATTGCCCCTATTCAGGTGGCCCGTATCTTCAAAGCCGTTTCGGCTGTGAGGCCATCACTACTTCTATCGATGTTCAAACTTGTTTGTGATTCTCGTTTACCCTTGTCGTTACACTCTTTTGTAATTATTAGCAAGTTTATCTTATTTACATAAGCTGGCAGGTGTCGACTCTCGTTTATGCCGGACTCAACTTAGCCTTGCTGATCTTGTGGGCTTCGGGACATGGATTTACCACTCGCGCAACCCTGGCCTCATCCGTGTTAAGTCTCTGCGCCGCTCTCGTCCTCGCTGTCCTGTCGCAGGTTCAACATGGCAAAAGCCCACGGCCGTCTTTCATAATCACTGGTTATCTCATAATTTCACTACCCCTGAACGGCGCGCGCGTCCGAACCGCCTGGCTCATGGCATCGGACAAACATCTCATGCCAGCTATTCTCACCGCTGCTCTAGCCGTCCAGGTTCTGATTCTCGTCTTAGAGACCAAGAACAAAAGGAAAATCCTGGCTGGTGTGTATCGCAGCTTCTCACGCGAGGCAACAAGTGGCCTCCTCAGTCGTGGGCTTTTTTGGTGGTTGAAGTACTTGCTTTCTGATGGATACCGGCGCATCTTGGCCGTTGAAGATCTCGAGTCCATCAATGAAAAGCTTAGATCTTCCAAGCTTTCGAGTGAGCTACAGGTTCGTTGGATGAAGAAAAGTGAGAACTATCTGAGCCCTCTTGCACCGAGATCACCGTGTAGTACTCTGACATTGCCTCACGCATCAGAGAAAGTAGACCGCAGTCGGCACAAGCACGCCTTAGCTCTGGCTACGCTTTCGGCCTGGCGGTTGGAGGTTGCCAAGATTGCGCTTCCTCGTCTTTGTCTGATTGGACTTAGCCTTGCACAGCCTTTCCTCATCCGCCAGATCGTAGAGACTATATCGGCTCCTGTCAGTCAGCAAAGCTCAAGCCAAGGATATGGCTTGATCGGTGCCGTGGCTTTAGTCTATACAGGGATACCCGTAAGCTCAACTTCCTTTCCCCCTCCCGGGTTGCTGCTGATCAGATATGTGTGTCACAAGATTGCGACAGGCTTTTATCAGCACCTTTCCTTTCGACTCATGGCCATGGTCAGGGGCGGCCTCACTTCCCTGATCTATGACAAGATTGTGCAATCGCCGTCGACGCAAGTCGGTGACTCTGCTGCGATGACCTTGATTAGTACAGACGTCGAACGAATCTGCGAGACATGGCATCTTGCGGTCGCCGAAAGTTGGGCGAGTGCCATTCAGCTTGCTTTTGCTGTGTGGTTTTTACAGATGCAAATCAGTCCCGTTTGTGTCACTCCAGTCATCGTCGCGCTGGGTAAGTCAAAGCACTCATGTCGATTGGGCTTAGAGTTGCTTTATTCACGGGTTTACGCTGCTAACTTAACGACTTGGTAGTGGCGACCGCCATGTCAGTCAGAGCGGCTGGGTTTGTGACTGCCCGCCAGAAGGTCTGGCTCGAGGCGATTCAAGCCAGGATTAATTTTACCGCACATGTCCTAGGCTCGATGAGAAGTGTCAAGATGTTGGGGCTTAGCAACAAATTTGAATCTCTCATACAGGGTATGCGTGTTACTGAGCTGGACCTCTCCAAGAGGTTCAGGCGCTTGTCCAGCTTCAATGTCTGCCTTGGTAAGCTGAAGCTTATCTCTAACTTGATCCAGCGCAGGCACTGATGAATCGCAGTAAACTTACCCTCGCTTTTCTCCCAGTTCTTCACATTCGCGATCTTTGCAATCGCCGCCAAAGTTCAGGGTAACAGCTTTGTGACGGTGTCGCAGGCAGTCACAGCCCTGTCCATTCTCTCCGTCCTCATGGAGCCTCTGGGCATGATGTTAGTGGTGATTCCTCAGGCATATGCTGCCTTGGGTTGCTTTCAAAGAATCCAGGACTTTCTTGCTAGCGAGTCCTGGGACAACAAACGACTGTCTGAGTGCCCGCTAGAAACAACGAATCTGGAGAGCCACGATGAGTCGGAAATGTTTCAGACGCCCCCGGGCAACAACCATGTGGAAATGATTCAACGTCCACAATCAACACCCAAAAAGCCTCTTCCTCATACGATCTTCAACTCCGACCATGTGATCATCCATAAGGCTACCGTTGGCTGGCAAGGCTCCAGCCATGTAATCAAAGACCTGTCACTGCGCATTGGCCAAAATCATCATCTCACAGTCATTTTGGGACCAGTCGGCTGTGGCAAGTCTACAATTCTAAAGGCCATTCTCGGCGAAGCCACCATATTCAACGGCTCTGTCTGGGTCAGTAGCAAGGAGCTAGCCTATTGCGATCAAAGCCCGTGGGTTTCGAACGGCTCCGTCCGAGAAAACATTGTCTCGGGAACTGACTTCGACGCTGCTTGGTACAATACTGTCATTCACGCTTGCGCTTTACAAGTGGATATGCTGCAGTTATCGGACGGTGACGCGACGAATGTCGGTAGCAAAGGGGTTTCGCTCAGCGGTGGGCAGAAGCAACGCCTGGTAATAACTGCCTCGGCGCCTGACTATTGTATTGCGTACTAAGATGAAACAGACGTTAGCTCGGGCACTCTATGCGCGCAAGCCTATCGCTGTCCTGGATGATGTACTGAGCGGCCTGGATGCCGCCACCCACGACATCGTCACCACGCGTGTCTTCGGAGCTGATGGACTGATCCGGAAGCTGGGTATGGCAGCCATTTTGGCCACGCATTCTGGTGAGTAACAATGATTTTTGAGTAGCTCACATAGCGTTTAGGAAAACGTGTTGTTCCTACTAACGACCACACATAGTTAATGTATGCGCCATCGCGGACCAAACTATCGTCCTTGACGACCAAGGACAAATCATTCAGCAGAGCTCATCTGAGAATATAACTTCTCTTGCGCCACAGCTAGCCGGAGACGATGGATTTTCGGCGAGCTCAGGAAACAGCCCACCTCCCAAAGTGTCAGCTGGTGAAACTCAGGGCTCAAGCACGAAACGAGATAACAACAGACAGGTAGGAGACTTGTCCATCTATCTATACTACTTCTCGTCTTTGGGATGGCTTAGCTTTGCCTTGTTCGGTATCTTCGTAGCTTCAAACGTGGCATTCAGCACTTTGCAATGTAAGCATGCTTCTTCCATCAGATCCTCCCCTTTTCATCAGTGCTGGTGTATTGCCACTCAGCCGCAGTAAGTCAAGCTCGTAGCTGATGTGGGTGAGTACAGATGCATGGATCACACTGTGGGCCCGAAACAGCGACGGATCGCAAGCATCACGGCTTGGCTACTGGCTTGGGTTATATGCACTTTTTAGTGTTTTTACTGCGGCCGGTCTTATTTCTGCGGTCTAGTGAGTCCTTCTACCACGGTGTAGAACCTGACTTATCAAAGCCTGGGGGCTCACCAAGCATCATGCTTGAGGCTCTTATGCTAATGATTATACCCAGCTACATGTACGTGGTGATCGTACCTAAGTCTGCACATTCTCTCCACTTGACTGTGCTTCGGGCAGTTATACGGTAAAATCGCCAAATTCTTGTTGCCAGTCGCTTGTTCATGTTCTTACGGTAATAACAGAGCTCCAATGTCTTTTCTCGCCAAGACCGACACTGGGGTGTTGGTTAACAGGTATGTCATGACTCTCGCGTAAGACTACAAGAGTATGAATTAACCCATATGTATTTCTTTCCCATGACAGATTTAGTCAAGACATGCAACTGGTTGACATGACCTTACCCGGGGCACTCGTGAATGCGAGCTTTCGTTCGTAGCAACTTTAACGCAATCCTCTGGGAAGCTGGTCGCTAATTTGAGAATCATAGAGCTTGCTGCGTGTTTCGCAGTTGCAGCGTTGGCCATTATCGCTGTTTCCTACTTCGCAGCTGTACTGCCCTTCGTCGCCTGCGCTCTTTTCTTCCTCCAGCGCTTTTATTTAAGGACATCTCGGCAGCTTCGACTACTAGAGTAATGCCTAATAACACCTTGCAAACGATATGAAATACTAACGCTGGCTTAGCCTGGAAGCGAAAGCACCTCTTTATTCTCACGTTCTGGAGTCTCTCCAGGGCATCGCCACTATTCGAGCATATGGCTGGACGAGCAACCACGTCGCCAAGAATCTCGCCCTCCTCGACAGGGCCCAGAAGCCTTATTACTTGCTCCTCTGCATTCAACGATGGCTGACTCTTGTATTGGGGCTGACGGTCGCTGGCCTCGCGATACTGCTCACCAGCCTAGGTGTCACGCTCCGCAGCAGACTGGACGCCGGTTTCCTCGGCGTTGCCCTTGTCAGCATGATGAATCTTGGCCAATCCTTGGCTGCCCTTATCACCTTTTGGACATTGCTTGAGACGTCCTTGGGTGCCATTTCGCGCGTGAAGGCTTTCTCCGAGGATACTCCGACCGAGAAACCTCGCGAGATCGTGGATACAAGAATTCTCGCTGGCTGGCCGTCTCAAGGATCGGTTGTCGTTGAGAATTGGTCGGCTCACTATAACGGGTATCCATAGGGTTAGGGTTAGGGTTAGGGTTAGGGGGTTAGGGTTAGGGTTAGGGTTAGGGTTAGGGTTAGGGTTAGGGTTAGGGT